CTTTAGCTATTGTTGGTTGTTGAAAATTCACAGTGAAGGCGGCAGTGGGTATGCCAAAGGCTAGCACAGTAGATCCCCCTTATCTACATGATCAATATCCACTGATTCATTTATCTGCGGTCTGAAAATATTTTATAACTCCTAGAAATATTCATTTCTAAAAATTAAGTTACCAGAACTGGCCACTGGAAGGAGCCGGAGACCAGGTTATGCGTAACATTCACTATAAAAATAGTGTTTGTTATAATCCACATTTTTCAGCATCCGCAGCAGGACTTGGAACCAATTCTCCATGGATTTGGGAGTCCTACTCTACTTCAGAATCTCTTGTGTTGTGTCTCCCAACATTCCTCACCATTGACAATGCTCACCAGGGATGATGGGAGATGAAGTCCAGCAACGTCTGGACTTCTTGGCCTAAGAGCTGAGCTGAGCTTCATCATCATCATCATCATCATCATTTTAGCTTCAGGAAAGGCAGAGCTGCTGCTAACAGCAGTGGTACTGGGTTGACTCCTTTGCCTTGATATTTATGGTACAGCTTGTCCAGATGTTAGACTTCATCCTGACAGAGTTGCTAGACACAACATGAACTCGGAGAACGGAAGAGGTCATGATTGCAGGCAGCCTTCCACCAGGATGTGGTTAAGGGCTTACAGGCCAACGAGCCTTGAAAGAACGATGAGGACACCATTGGAAACAAATGTTATAACTGAGACCTCATGGCCAAGCAAGCCGAAGCACCTGGCTCTGGAGCCAAGGACTGAACATTTGGTTCTCCATTGTGCCTCGGAGCAGAACAGCCAGCCCGTGTTGCCTTGGACAAGCTGCACAGACCCAGGGCACCCTCCCCCTCAAAGGAGGGAAGGGTAAACCACTTCCGAGTACTGTAGACCTCATTTACTTGCCAAGAGAGAATCTTTTCATAGAACACTCAAGATGCCATCATCCAGATTCTACTTAACAGCATTATTATTAATAGCAGCATCACAGGCCAATAATATAACTGGCATTCAACCTACTTATGAGCATATGTTCCTAAAGAACGTGGAGGGGAGGAATGAGAAACCCCCAGCTAGGTGCTGGGAATATGATATATATGATATTTTCTTGCTATTGGGCATTGGAAGAGCATTCTGTGTCCTAGAAGGGGTTTGGTTGGAGTCGCTCATGGTGCAGAGAAATGACAGGCGCCTACAACCCCGGCTAGAGGCGAGGGTTTCCATACAGCGTTTGGCGCATAGTAGGAAATGTTTTAGCTGCTATTTTTATTGACTGCGGTTGCCATGGCAAGCAGCCTGGAGGGGCAGGAAGGAATTGTCAAGCTCTTTGGACAGCTGGAAGCGATCGTGTATTGCGGTCATTCATATCTCTTTGGGCTGCGCCACGGGAGTTTGAAATATGAATGCGCACACGTCTTTCCTCCCACTTCCTCACAGCTTTGGCTTCCTGAACCCTGACATGGGAGGAATCTTGTCTCCCGCACACGGTTTGGAGGCGCCTACCTAAGAGCTACTAAGCTGACCGCCATTATTTTCCCCAAGGCTGGGCTGAGCTCAATTGCAGATCTGAACTCATGAATACCCTGACTGATTTCTGATAACAGACGTCATCGGTGCACATCACTTTGAGTCGTTCTGCACATTGAGCAGAAAGTGCACTTCTTACGACAAATGTTATCATTCTGTTTGACTCAATGGCGTCGTATTTTAGGTGAGACGCCTTAAGATGAGCCTTAAGTGGAGTTGGGTTCGCTGTACATCAGTGGCTCCCAACTTTGGGTCAGCCAGGGGTTCTTGGACTGCAATTCCCAGACGCCTGCATGACCAGTTGTGCCGGCTGGGATTTCTGGGAATTGCAGTCTGAAAACAGCAGGATTGGGAACCATGGATGTACAGCAAACCCAACCTTCCTGAAGGCTGTAATAGAAGGGTTTGGTCTTTAGAATACCGCACCGTTGGGTCAAACAGAATGATAACATTTATAATGGGAAAGGCATTTTCTGCCCAGTGTGTCGGTTGACTCAAAGTGGTCCCTCCCTATGATCTCTCCATCCCTCTCTCTGGCTTTTGCTGCACACCCCTGCACAGTTTTTCCTGCAGGTTTATCTCTGACTCCTGTAAAAAAAAAAAAAAAACAGGGTTATATCTCCAAAAGCGATGCCAAAGGTTTTTGTACACAGGGTTGGGAGGAAAGATGTGCCTGAATCTTGAACATTCTACAGAAAGATTCTCTCTTGGCAAGTAAACGAGGAAAGACTTTGCTGTTTACAAGCAACATTTTGGGTCATAAAGTTTTACAGGATGGTTCGACAATACTCCTAGTGAAAGGGGGGGGGAACCAGCAGGCGTGTTATTTATTGCTTCTGAAAGACTATTGTTTCTTTCTTTCTAATGAACAGAGGCAAGATATGTTCACTGTCTGATTTAGGGGGTGATTTATGAAGACCCAGAAGGGCCACTATTCTGCTGAATTTATTGTAACTCAAGAAGAATCATTAGAGTTTAAACGGCTGGAGGTGGCGAGCCATCTTGACTCTTCTTCTTGCGCACTACAAGTCTATGAGTCTCACCACAGATATAAGGAGCTTATTCTCAAGTAAGGGCTCTTGGGTGTGCTAGATAGAATGCTGGACTGGAACTAATGAGACCTGGGTTCAAATCCCTCTTTGAACCAATCCTTACGATGCTCCTCTTATCTCCCTTCCCACAGAGCTTTTTTTCTACATCTTTCCATGCCTTTTTTCCCCTTCTGAAAGCACAGTTTATTTAGTATCACTTTGCGCTGTAGTGGAGTTTAGTGCTTCTTATCAAAGGACTTTCAATTAAAATGTTTAAAAATAAAAAGCTTCAGGAGAGAATTTCTTAAAGATTTCATAAGGAGAAGCAGATTTCTTAAAGATTTCATAAGGAGAAGCAGATTTCTTAAAGATTTCATAAGGAGAAGCAGATTTCTTAAAGATAAGAAGACTGGATTTTTCAAATATAGAAGGACTGCAATATCAGCAATGTACACACACGTCCATGCATGCATGCACGCACGCACACACGTGCACACACGCACACACACACACACCAAAAAACACAGAAATTTCTTAAAGATTTCATAAGGAGAAGCAGATTTCTTAAAGATTTCATAAGGAGAAGCAGATTTCTTAAAGATAAGAAGACTGGATTTTTCAAATATAGAAGGACTGCAATATCAGCAATGTACACACACGTCCATGCATGCATGCACGCACGCACACACGTGCACACACGCACACACACACACACCAGAAAACACAGAAGTATTGAATGCTATACATTGCATGGTCTCTGGCTCCCTCTAGTCGCCAGTTCCTGGCGAATACATATAAATATGTATTTAAATACATATAAATACATATTTCTGGGGGGGGGTTTTTAGTATTTTCGGGTAGTGGATAAGTGAATCAGCAGATAGTGATACCGTGGATATAGAAGTCCTATTGTAGGTGTTTCAACCTACATATTAAGCCCTGGCTTACCTTCCAAAGACCAGTCCCAAAGCAACGTATGCTAAAAGCAAGATACAAATGTAAGAAAAATCATGTGCTAGGACAGTCAGACACCTTTCACCCCTTCAGGGAGCACTGCTGCAAGAAAGGGGATCAGTGCATTTTCCGTTTCACTGCTGGCAGCTGGCAATGGTAATACTAGCCCATACATATCTCACAAACCTAGAAAACCTTTTTAAGATCAGCTTAAGTCAAAGACAATTTATGGAATGTCTCTCCTTTCGAAAGTCCACTGCTAAGAAACCTCCAACATAACACTGTTTCCATTGCTCTTGTGAGGAGGATAAGCTTGCAAATATTTTGAACTCCCATTACATTCTTGGACGGTGGTGCTTCTAGCCTAATCTTTTAAAAATATATATCTACAGCTTATGCAACTATGATGGAAAAAAGGAGCGAGAGAGAAAGAGAGACACTGTCGTCAATTCTGCTGTCTTCGTGCCACGATCGGGTTTGTTTTGAGAGCCTTTCTGGCCAGTGAGACATAACCGCAGGCACATGGAGAGTTGGCCTCTGGGACTCTCTGGCTCAAAGGGCTGAGAGAAGCCAGACCAGGGTTTGAGGTCAGCACGATGGCTCAGCACTCTCCCGCAGGGCAAAGGGCTGCCGTCATTTCAAACAAGTCAGAGGGGAGCATGCTGGATTTGTTATGATCCTGGCTTCCAAAAAAAATAAAACATGTTCTGAAAAAAGCAAACCCCACAACACTGGTTTGGAATGCCTGAGACAGGCGCTCAAGAACTAAAGTTATGAAACTTTTCAGAAAGAGAGGAAGTTGGAAAAGGAGCAACGCCAGCGATGAGGAGATAAGAAACAGAGTTCTGTTCCATGTCCATGGCAGACTTGTGTCTGTTTTCTGCTACAGACCTCGCCACTTTGATTTATTCGGTTTGTGCCTTGCCTCAGACATCTCAAACATGGGATTAAGTAGCAGTGATTAATCAGTCATTTAGAACCGTTAACTGGGACTCATCAGCAGCATGTTGAAATGTTGACAACCCTCTAATCCTACTTCTCCTTACCCCAAAATCCATATATCTCTGCTCAGTTTTTTCCTTCTCTGTTTCTACTGGCAGTTAGTAGTCCGTTGGGGCTTGTTGCTCAAAGCAGTCATGTTTGATAGCTTTGCTGTACAACTCGAAGTAAGTGAAATCTTTTATTGTTTCTCCAACTAAGTCTCAAGGTGAGTTATTGAGACTGTAAGTGCCAGTTAATGAATAAAAAAGGGGGTGGGCTAATCTGGGGAATCTGAAGCTATGCTGCTCAGTAAACCCTGCACTTCTGCTAGAGGAATTTAACCAACATTCAAAACTCAGCAACAACAACAACAAAAAAAAAACCTTAGTCTCTCCATTCACCCTAGTGTTCTTTCTCTCTTTCCCCCCTCTACTTTTTTAATGGTGGTCTTTTTTCTCTACCCCAATCGTGGAGTGATTTTTGTGACTGTGTGTTTTGTCCGTAGGACCTCTGTGAAGATCCTCACTTGTTCGTCCATGGCATCAGTTCCCACGATTTGCACCAAGGGAAACTGGGGAACTGCTGGTTCGTGGCTGCCTGCTCTTGCTTGGCTCTGTGGGAGAACCTCTGGCGAAAGGTACTAGTGATAAGCTGGAAACTCTCAGCAATTAAATTCAAACACGGCATCAAAGAGGTTGCCACAAAGTGCTCTGGGGATACCTATGCTTTCCATCTGCAGCAAAGTTGAGGTGCACATGACCCTAACGCCACAGGTGCACCATACCCAAAGATAAAGCTTTCAAAGATTTTAAAGAAAGTCACAAAAGAGAAGCAAAGGTTGCTTGCATGAACAATTTAAAGCTGCAAGGACGATGATTTCAAAGCCAAGTTCAATGTCCTGTATGCAACGGGGAGTCCCAATTCAACTTGAATCAATGACATGGATGTAATGTTGATGTTTGACTCTGGGGTTCATCCATTTGGGTCTACCAATTGGATTTAAACCAAAATCCTATCCATTTTGCCCGGGTCGAACTTTGTCTATGAGGTGCAGGCAGCTAAGAAGTCAGCATTTCCCATTGCCCACCAGTTGGCACGACAGAGTTACACAATAGGAAAAGCATACGTGGATGTCTTCACTTGTGACAATTTGTGACTGAGAGTTAAGGTCTCAAGCCAGCCGGAGGGAATGAACTGGATTTTTGAGAGAGAGGTTTACGACTCCATAAAGCAGAGGTGGGTAACTGGCTGCTCTCTAGCTGTTGTTTGACCCATGGGGGTCTTTCTGAATAATATCAATATTATTTTAGCTGCTATTAAAGTCTCATAACTCATTAGCATTCAGTTTTACAAATCCATGTTTTGTTTCTGAATTCAATGATCTAAACTTGGCAATTAATGAATCAAGGTTTTCTGCTGAAAGCTTTAGGTAACTTTTTCTATTTTGGGGTCTCACAGGTGATCCCGGATGCTAAAGAACAAGACTGGGATCCTAAGAAGCCAGAGGAATATGCTGGGATATTTCACTTCCAGTTCTGGTGTTTTGGAGAATGGACTGATGTGGTCATAGATGACCGACTGCCAACTATGAATAATGAGCTGATTTTCTGCCATTCCGATGATCGCAATGAATTCTGGTGTGCGCTTCTGGAGAAAGCATATGCAAAGTATGTGTCTTCTTTAACTTTCTGTTTTTTGAAGGACATCAAATGTCCCTTTTAATATTGCTGTGGCCAAACCCCATTGTGTACATTCCATCTTCAGAAAGGTAATACCACTAATGGAGGGAGTATTTGGGTAATTAAAAACTTCTTCCTTCTGTCCCACAGCTTGTCTAGCACAGGAGCATGGGAACTGTAGGATAAAAGGAGGAGGTCTTTTAATTACCAAAAAAAAATCTCTCTCTGCCTATAGGGGCAACTACAGTATTTCCCTGTATTTTTCCACTCTTGGAAAGACCTGACACACAAAGTGTCAAATTATTTTTGAACTGGTCACAAAGATTGTACTGGTTTTTTCGTAGTGGCCACACTGATTATCATCTGGCTTCTTCCGAGTAATGAGTAATTTGACAAGTTCCTTTTTTTGAACAGTGTTCTGAGCTGAACTGTTTCCTTCCTAAATCCCGCAGTTCCAACATCCCAGTTTATCTTCTTTCAGAAAATAAATTGCAAGGTGAAAGAAAGTCAGATGCCCCACCATCAAAAACTTGAAAAGGAAAAAATGCCTGTGTCAGACATCTCTAAATTTGCTTTCTGTCCCTATTTAGAATGGCAGGATGTTATGAAGCCTTAGACGGCGGCAGTACTGCAGAAGCGATTGTTGATTTCACCGGAGCAGTTGCTGAATCCATTAATTTGGCTGAAGGCAACTATAGCCACAATATCATTGAACAGGCCAAACTCTTCGAAGATTTGCTGAAAGTCCACAGAAGGGGAGGATTGATCAGCTGCTACATCATGGTATGAGTGAAGATTGGGCTGTTGCAGATCTTATGAAGACCTGGGTGAAATTTACAAATTTAGAAAGGATCATACCTTTATTCAGACCACTAAAAACCAAACATTGAACACCAGCTTTCATGAATAAATTCACTTCTTCAGGCGTGCTGCAGAAAAAATACAGATGAATGTCACTAAAATTGCCAACCTTTACAGAGAAGAAATGGGAAAAAGCTGAGCTCCAGATTCACAAAGGGGTGGCTGAGAAAGAAGCCAAGCTTTTTTTTTCTGTATTAAAAAAATTGATGAATTATGAAAAGAAATCCACAATGCAAGCAGATATCTATTGGGGGAAAAATAGCCTTTCTTATTAAATACAGGTTTTCTCTTCTCAATTTCCCAAAAAAAGCCTTACAGGAATGCCTACTCTCATCCGACGAAGGCTAGCTGAGAAATCCATTCCAGTTTTGTTTTGGGCAGAACTTCACCAGTTCTGCATATTCGAATTAATACACCAATTTTGTTGTTGTTGTTTAGTCATTTAATTGTTTCCGACTCTTTGTGACCCCATGGACCAGAGCACGCCAGGCCCTCCTGTCTTCCACAGCCTCCCAGAGTTGGGTCAAACCCATGTTGGTTACTTCAATGACCCTGTCCAACCATCTCATCTTCTGTCGTCCCCTTCTCCTCTTGCCTTCACACTTTCCCAACATCAGGGTCTTTTCCAGGGAGTCTTCTCTTCTCATGAGATGGCCAAAGTATTGGAGCCTCAGCTTCAGGATCTGTCCTTCCAGGGAGCACTCAGGGTTGATTTCCTTCAGAACGGATAGGTTTGTTCTCTTTGCAACCACAGTGCTATGGATTTCGTCTTAAAACTTTGCAGGAACATCGTGTCCTGACCTTGTAGGAGATGGATGATGAGTCATTCCTGGAGGAGGAAAAGATGATTCAAACAGAGGTTTCCAGCGTCCAGTCATTGTTTCAGCATTTTCTGAAATTAATAAATCAATTAGTGGTCTCTCTGAAGAGTTGGTCTTTGAGGACAAGGCGATCCAACATGGAAGGAGGTTCTTGGACAGTTTCTGTCCCATATGGCTTTGCAGGCAATGTGAAGTAGCACATTGAAAGTAACAACGTTAATAAGAAGGGTGTAATGATTTTTGTTTTGAGGGGAAAAAAACATAAAAGCCCAGCAACGTCATTATTTTTCTCAAGAAATGCTTTTCCTCATTAATTTTTGGAAGCTGAAAAGGCTTAGAGAACATTATGAATATTCTTTCTTTCAAAATAAATTTTAGGGCACCTCCCTTCCTGTTTTGATGAAGAAAAAAGTAGCACAAGAAAAGCAAAATAGAACAACATATTAAGTAAACAAATTTTGCCATTTGTATTAAGTAGCAGTAGGCAGGGCCTTATAACAAATTAATAAATAACATTCCAAGTTAATGATACAAATCTTTGCTTATTTTGTTCTTGCAAGTGGGAAGGAAACATTTTGAAAGCTTCTGCCCCCCCCCAACTAGGTCCAATTAATGGATGCTTTTGCACATTTCCCTGCATTTTTGATGCTTTTTGCGAAAAATTCGCAAAAGCTTTTTTTGCGAACACTTGTATTTTGCCCCCTTTAATTGTGCACAAAAATTTGCAAAACAAAAACTTTTTTAAAAAAAATGCTAATATTGCTGTTCATGATAAACAGCACTAGTCTTTTCTTTCTTAGTGCAAGAGCAAAAAATAATAATAATCACTAAGTGGTTGACCTTTTTTCCCACAAGGAGTGCCAACGTATTGAGAATCAAGGCTGAAACCTTTTCGAGTACTTGTATCCTTGCCCAGCTCTCAGAAACCTATAATATATGTTTTTTCTAATGGTGTAGTTGTTCAATTTATGAGTAGCTTCCAACCCAAAGCAGAAGATATAAGATTTCTTCATTTAGCTAATCTAGATTTTCTCTGTACGAATGCAGAAAATATTTATTCGGTGAGACCTGCTTTGTTTTCGCAGAGCGAGCATTTGCAAGGCAAGATGGCACAGTGGCACCAAAACCCATTGAGATCCTTTTAGGCTTTGTGTTGTAACAAGAAGTAATCGCGCTATAACCCTCCCCTCCTGTGCTGTCATGGAAACACACGCTTGTATTTTAAGACGAAATGCAAGTGAAGAACTGTTAGAGAAAAGTGAGATCCTTGCAAAATGTCAGAGCATCATAAAATGCCATAATAAGCTCTAAGCCTGTAACCCTGTTCCTACTTACCTAGGTAAGCGCCGTTGAACTCAGTATGGCTTCCTTCTGAGTAAACATCAATCTATGATTACACTTCAAACTAATGCTTGATTGCGCTGTGCCCAGTCTCAACACAGGGCAATGTTGGTGGGGGAAAAACACAGCAACATTTACAGTGAGGGAAAAGCTTTCTTGATTCTGTGTTTGTTCTTCAAAGGCTTATTTGCAACCCTCTCATTAATTCATATTTACCTTGCACTGTAGTCTTCCTCCCGCGATTTTGAAGGGCACACGGAGATGGGTTTGATCAAGGGCCATGCTTACTCCGTGACAGCCGTCGTGATGATGAGCTTGGGGGAGAAGCTGCTGTCATGTGCGAAGTCTAACAAACTCTTCATGATCAGATTGAGGAATCCCTGGGGAAAGAAAGAATGGGTCGGCGCGTGGAGTGATGAGTAAGTAAACTGTGTCTGCGTTGTTGTCCGGAAGTGTTAGCCAGCTGATTTTTGATGGAACCGCAGGACTCTCTGTACACAGAAGCTAAAAGAAACTCACTACCAAGTGTGGGAACATTCCACGGGCAATGACAGAAGAAGGATTTTCAGTATGGCGGGTGCAATTCGATTTAACAGTCTGCTCTGAGTGTCAAAATCATGGATAAGTCCAAAAAGTATAATGGTTCCAAGCATTCTCTTCACACAATGGGCAGCTGATGCCTACAGCAGTGGTCCCCAACCTTGGGCCTCCAGATGTTCTTGGACTTCAACTCCCAAAAGCCTTCACCACCAGTTGTGCTAGCCTGGGTGTCTGGAAGTTGCAGTCCAAGAACCTCTGGGTAACTGAGGTTGGCAACCAGTGCTGTAGGCCAGCGGTCCCCAACCATGGGCCTCCAGATGTTCTTGGACTACAACTCCCAAAAGCCTTCACCACCACCTCTGCTGGCCAGATCTTGTCTAAATACAGAGAGCAGAATCAGATTAGAGGATATTGAAACAGTAGAAAACAGACTACATGCACAAGAAACATATATTTTTATAATCCTCTGTGTGGATATGAAACCGGGGCACCTAGGAGACAGGCTCTTCTATGGATGGAAAGAAAAAGACCTTGGAAAAAGAGGCTGAGAGAGATGTGATGTGGCCGCGTACACATAGTCTTGGCATGTTGACAATGAACGAAAAGGACAATCCCATTAACAAATCCTTTCTTTTCCTCTGATGCACTCAGATCCGAAGAATGGAAAAAAGTGAGCCAAGCAGAACGCAAGAAAATAGGACTCACAATCGAAAATAATGGAGAGTTCTGGTGAGCTAAACAAAGACGTATCTGTCATTGACCGAGGATGGCTGGTTGGTATTCTGGAGTTTTTAAGACCTCGTATGCTGGCTCCAGTGTGAGTGACTAGGAGGGATTTTTCTGTGCTGGGCTGGCGGCCAAACTATCCAGCATTCATCTATGATTTACCCCAACCTCTCAAATCAACAAGAGCCCCACCTTCTTCATGAGTTTTCTCTTTCCCTCTCTTCAGCTAGCTGTAGTCAACGTTGCTTACTTTGCTGTTGATCTGTTCACAACTGTAAGTAGTAAAACATTTGTAGTCTTTCTCCGGCAAATGTCTCAGAGTGAGTCATTGAGATCTTAAATGCCAGTTAATGAAAAAGGAGTGGATCATCTAGGAAGCTTGTAGCTGTTCTCTTCTGTAGGTCTCTGTACTTCCACTGCATAGAGCAAAGGAATTTTACCAGAAATTCAAAACTCTGCAACAGAAATAGATGAATTTTCATCACCGTCTGTGTTCTCATGGACCCAAGCTGTCATGACGCCATGAGACACCCTGTCCAGGGTTCATTAATGCCTGTGAAATTTCATTCCTCCACCAAGACCAAAACAAGGAGCCTTTTTTTCACCCCTCAGGCTTTCTCACAATCACATTTTCCACAAAATATCTCTGCCTGAAATGACACGCCTTTCCGTTTGTGAAACTGACAATACAAATGCACAGCAATCACAGGGGGAGAAAAAACTAACAAACAGTCTGGTTGACCAAAAAGGCAGAAACCATCCAACGAAATGCTTCTACCTTTTTTAAAAGTCTGTGCAACAAGGGAGCATCAGCTGTGAATTTGAGCAACTTGCGCATAGATTTGAGCAATTTGCATAATTTTGCACAGAATGCCCAAGTTGTGCAAAATATCACTCTCAGACATTCTAAAACTCCTACTGCAAGTACCGGGAAAATACCTCATGACCTTGCAGGCAAAGACACATAATTTTGCACGGAATGCCCAAGTTGTGCAAAAAATCTCTCTCAGACATTCTAAAACTCCTACCACAAGCACCGGGAAAATACCTCATGGCCTTGCAGGCAAAGAAAAGTAAAGGAGACCAATTTAGACCCCATAACGTCTACATCACCAACAAATGATTAGCATTAAGGAGTTATTTAAAGTCCCAGGAGCTGTTTGAATCCCAAGTTCCATGAGACTGCAGTTATGGTTTACAGCCCAATAAATTCTTGCATAGAAGAAAGCTTTGGGTGACAGCTCAGAAGCTGTTGCATTTATAAAAGAAGAAGAAGCTCTGGTTCAACGCAAACCTTTTCTAAACTGGAATTTAGGACCTGCCCCTTCAACAAAAAATGTCCCCACATAGATACATATTGCTCCTTCTGGTTATCCTGTTGGGTTTTTCTAAGCACACAAGCTGCATTCCTCCAAGTCTTCAGAAGGAAGGATGCTTCGAAAAGGTCTGTGGCAGGACGATAAAGTGTTGCAGTTTTGAATTTCTGGTTAAATTCCTCTTGCCGCACAACAGAAATGCAGGGATTTGCACAGCTTCAAGACCCCCAGAGTAGACCGCTCTCTCATTAACTGTCACTTACAGTCTTAATAACTCACCCTGAGTCATTAGTAGAAGGAAGAATAGAAGGTTGTGTTACTTACGAATGAACCAAACAAACAGCAAACTGATGTACATGACTGCTTTCAACAACGGACCTCAACAGAGAGGGGAAGGGCTCACAGCAGAGAGGCAGAACTCTCTTTGAAATCAGAGGCAGTGAATGGATGGTTAGTTAGTGCAGGATAGGTTGACAGTCACCCCAGCCCACAAAAGGCCCCTCTCAGTCATATCTACTAAAGGCAGCATGCGAGGTTACAAAATCTCCAACATAAAGAGGGTTCTTGGCCTTTTAATTTTGGAATTGGGTGAAAATCTGAGTGAGGAAGTTGTGCTAGCCATTTTTTAAAAGGGAGGGTGGGGTTTTCATATTAAAGAGAAATATTCTTAACACCTCAAATTAAAATGTACCTCTTTTTGCTTGTTCCAAGGATGACCTTTGAAGACTGGTGTAAAAATTTCACGGACGTCGACATATGTCGAATCGTAAACACCTCCCTCTTTAGCGTCCATAAGACCTGGGAAAAGAAGATGATGTATGGGCAATGGACAAAGAATCCCGACCCACTGCTGAACCGTTCTGGGGGGTGCTTAAATAACAAAGCCACCTTTTTACAGAACCCACAGGTTGGATCGCATTTCTGCTTGAATTTGGGGGGGGGGCTCTGAATGGTGGACTGTACAGGAAAATCTCCTTTTCTGTGGCACAGCCAAGTGACACCCCTGCTGCTCAGGGGTCCTCAGATCCTGGCAATCAGAAAACATATGAACCCCAACCTCTGGAGCCACAGGTTGGGAGTTCGATTCCCCACCACACCTCCTGGGAGTAGAGCCAGCCTGGGTGACCTTGGGCAAACTGCAGAGTGGTCCTAGAGCACCCCTAGTGGAAGGGAATGGTAAAGCACTTCTGTGTACTCTGTACCCAGAGAGCCCTGGAAAGCGCCTCCATAATTAAGAATCAACTTGATGACATGCAGTGACAATTAAGGGTCTGAAGTGGCCATCTCCCAAGGGGCAGGACCAAAAAAGACAACACAAGTCTCCAAGGGGCATCTGAGAAAGTTTGCCCTAGTGCCTTGATTCATCATATACAATAATTTCTGGCCCCACCACCAGCTCTTTGTTCAGGCTTAAAAGTCCCCCTCCCACTCTTTTTTTAAACACCTATAAAGGACCCATGGAGGTAAAAATTAGGTCTACAGGGCAAATTACACCCTTCCTCTAGGTGGCAGAGTTTGCATTTCTGAGGCAATTGAAATTTGGGGGTGTTTCAGGGTCTTGAGAAATGTTCAGACTTGCGAGCCCCCCAGAGAGAGGACTCCAGTCACATCTCCTGCGCCCACCCAACATGGATTCAAAGCCACTTGTGGCTCATGGACTCAGGCTGGTGTCTCGCTTCCCAAATTGCAGACCAAGGGCCCTCCGCTCAGCCCAACAGCCAGCTTTGTCCGACGTTTTATTTGAGGAGAAGCTCAGGCACGTACATGAACTCCCCATTTATACCCTGTCGCCTGCCAAAACGGAGGAGAGGGATAGTCTGTGTAGACACTTTTCCCACAGGCACTAAAATATTAAAAAATATTAAAAGAACAAAAATCCTAGAAATACTGTATATATTTCTAAAGATAAAAGTATCAGAACTAGCCAGAGATCATATATTTCCACAATGTAGTATTTTTTGCACCATAAGAAGCACTTTTCCCCCCACAAAACAGGGGGGTGGAAAGTCTGTGCGTCTTATGGAGCGAAGAAAACAGATTATATTTTCCTGTTTTCTTCTCCTAAAAAAATTGGTGCGTCTTATGGAAAGGTGCGTCTTATGGAGCGAAAAATACGGTAATTACCAGAACTGGCCACTAGTGGGAACATGAGACCTCGCAGTGTATAGAGCAATTTATTTCCATGATGTCATTATTAGAACTTGCCACTCGAGGGAGCCAGAAACTATGCAATATATAGCATTCACTATTAAAATTGTGTTCACCGTAATCTGAATTTTTCAGCATCTGGGGTGGGGTTGGGGACTTGGAAACAATCTCATGTGGATACGGCGGCTCCTATTGTGTTTATTTCTATAAGAACAAACACCTACCCAGCACTAGTAAGAATAATTTAACCTTTCGTGATACATCAGAGAGAGACAATGTGGAGTAGTGGTTAAAATCCCAAAGAGAGGCATGGGAAATTCACATTCCACTCTCTGTGTAGCCGTGAAGCACACGCGTTGACTGTGGGCTAGCCGTTCTCCCTCAGTCTGGCCTCCCTCACATGTTTATTGGGAGGGGAAAGTAGGAAGAACGACAGCCACGCATCTCCATGAGAGGAGGTACGATATAAGTATAGCTAATAAATAATCAAAGGATAAATGTCATGGATGCATCTGTTTGTTAATGGAACCGTTGTCCCACAACAAGGCTTTTGGCAAAGCCCATTTTCTGTAGATTTAACAGGGAGCCTTCCTTCCTCCTGGCTCCCTCTTGTGTTTTTTTTCTGCTCTTCCTTTTAGTACATCTTCGACGTGAAGAAGGCTGAAGACAAAGTGCTGGTCGAGCTGCAGCAGAAGGACCGGCGCATGTACAAGAAAGAAGGGACGGGAGAAAACTTTGTTATCGGCTTTGAAATCTTCAAGGCAGGTGTTTCCGCTGCATGGCTGATCTTACTGAAATGGATGTTTCATTACCTTTACTTGAATCTAGTGAACGCGTCAATGAGTTTCACATCCGGTGTGGGTAGAAAGTGGAGAGGGGCCTCTTGGTAGACCAAATGGGCATTTGCAGGTGATCAGCAAGGCTTTTGAATCACCATTGTTTAATGTTGGCAACAGATGGATTTCTCTCCTGTCCTTTATTACAACGGTCCCCAACCTTGGGCCTCCAGAGGTTCTTAGACTACAACTCCCAGAAGCCTTCACCACCACCTCTGCTGGTCAGGATGTCTGGGAGCTGAAGTTCAAGAATATCTGGAGGCCCAAGGTTGGGGACCACTGCTTTATTATATTGGAGAAGTGAGAAAAGTTAAAGGAACCATCCGTGTAGAATGAATGTGTAGAAGAGTGCCATTCCTTTCTAATTATTGATTCTCTTGTTGTTCTGTGCACTTAAGCTGCCTCCAAACCATGGTAGCCCTATGACTGAGCAATCACCAAAACATCCCATCAAAATATCTCTTGCAAATTCAAGGCTGTGGCTTCTTTTAGGGAGTCGGTCCATCTCACATTTACTTCCCCTCTTTTCCTGCTACCCTCACCTTTTCCTAACATTGTGGTCTTTTCCAGGGAAGTGTTTCTTAGAACAATATTACTAAGAATTTTTCAGGTTTTAGGTCATTCTCTAATCGGTCCTAAGTGGAAAGGGAAGTAGTCACTGGTTTTGTATTTTTAGAAGTATTTCAGATGTGCAATGTCAAAACTGGCCACTAGATGGAAGTAGAAATTACACTGTGGTGCTTCTCTGGCCTGCCAATAGCAACGCCATATATTAACAATGTGCAACATAATTAATTTCGTAAAATACTTGCACCGCCTGAACAGTATTAAATGACAACAGCGACCTAATTACCAAGAACTAATAAGTAACATACCAAGTTCCTTTTGAGGCATAACATTCTGAATGCTGTCCTAGCCATAGTAGCTTGTGAGTGCAGAGTAAGTCATTCCTCCATCTGGTTTTCTATGCCAGGTGGAGGACAACAGAGAATGCCGTATGCATAAACTGAAAATACAAGAGAAAGTGGCTACCTCAGCCTACATCGACAACCGTATGGTATTTCTGAAGGTTCTTCTCAAGCAAGGGCGATATGCCTTGATCCCAACCACCTTCAGCCCTGGCATTGAAGCTGAATTTATTCTGAGGCTTTTCACAGATGTACCATCAAAACTCAGGTATCACTATCTTTCCCCTTTTCCCGGCAACCTCTGATTGCATGCAAACCTAACTTCTGAAATACGTTTTTAAAAAATTGCTAGTTATAATCCTTGACATGGTTGTTGACAAGGGTGTAGTGGTAAATTTGGAGGTGTGGGTGATATCATGAGAGGTCCCAGCAGCCAGCCCCCACTTCCCAATGTAAGGAGAGTCTTAAAATCCTATATTGGTCCATATCAAGAAATGAGGAGGTGGTCTTTGGTAGAGTGAATGGCTCTTAATTGCTAATGCAAGACCAAACCATTCTTAGAGGCTTTGAGTTACAATTGCCATGTTTTTATGTACTTTCAAATTGGGAGCAACTTCTAGGGACTTTCAAGATACCGTAAGTGAGATATTTAAAGGCTAGTGTTACCTGTTCTGCTCTCCATGTGGCTGAGTGGAGATTTGAACCCAGGGCTTCTGAGTCCTAGTCCATCACTCTGTCCACTACTACACCACACTGGGTATCTTGCAATTAAGATGGCTTGCAAACATATACTGTTACTGGGAAAATCCATTCACCTCCCAGCTATAAGTTGAGAGATAACGTGATGGAACTACATAACTCTCTGATTTTGGAGGGGATTCTTCTTAGGGGGTGCAACTAACCAGAGATGGGATTTTTTGGTTTTCCGGACCACAAATACTAAAATTCTCCATTCTGGGATTTCTACATATCTTAGAGACACCTAAATGGGAGAAACTGGAAGGCGTTGGAGCCTAGCTAGGCCTAGTTCTGCCCAAGCTTTCGGCTGACAAAGAAAACTCCCAGCTTGCACTGGGGCAGGAACAGGAAGCTTGGGAGGAGCTAGGCCTAGCTAGGCCCCAAAAGCCCTCCAGTTTAGGCCTTTCGTCCCAGGTGAGCCACATTTAGGCTTCTGTGAGGTGGGTAGAACTGCCAGACTAGAGAATGATGGTATTTGTAGTCCAGAAAAAATCCTAAAATCCCATCCCTACCCCACAGTACTGCCTATCAAAGGGTAGTTCAGGAGAGGAACCTAACTAGGAAAAATGCCCCAAATGTTTGTGAGGATATGCTAGTCAAACACACAGTGGGCTTATGCCCCATGGGTGACTGTTAGTCAGGAGTGGCTACTTCGGGAATGGGGGAGTGATATTCTCCATTTCACTGTTTCAGGGAACTGAAACTGCATAAACCCAGGCTAAGATGTCAGGACATTCTCTGCAGTGTCCCTCGGAGAGTGACTCAGGTCAAGGTCCACGCGGTGGAAGGTCTCCAGAGTCAGGACCGCCATGGTGGTAAGTGCATAGAAAGGGGTTAACCTTTTCTCTTTATGGTGGGACTTCCTGGGGGGTGGTATTCATGGTGGGAACATTAGATGGGATGTTCTCATGGCTGCTTAGGAGGAGAAGACAGGAGGAGACGGGTCCAGATCACTGAAATGGGCTCTGGCTCTGTCCTTGTGCTCATGGTTGACACGGCCCACCTTTCTGCAAGCCACGGATTGTACACCAAAAGCAGACATTCCCTGGGAAGGGAGGCAGCGCCCTCTGCTGCCAACGGGTGGACTTCCAAGCCCTTCTGTTGGCCTTTTGACCTGTCGCTTCATTGCCCATCTCCGTGCTACTCATCCAAATAAAGCAATGACTTACGGGAAGCTCATAGGAAGCTCTTTATACCCATTGGCAGTTTATCTGTCCTGCCCCCTTTTACCTCCTTGGTTTTAGAACGGCTCTCCAGGGAGCAAGGGTGGGTATTAAAAACAAGCAAGCCTTAGAACCCAGCTGGACTGTTCACCAAGCCAGGCCTTGTAGAGCTTGCAGGAGGAGAAGCGGCGTAGTCTAAAAATCATCCTGCAATATCTGGCCCAAGGAAATTAGACTTTCACGTGCCTTTTTCCCCCCATCCTTAGCTTAGCCTATTGATGGGAAGTACCAAGTACCAAGTCCCGAGTCTGAGTCTTTGGTACCAAATCCTGAGTCTGAGTCTTTGCTACCAAGTCCTGAGTTCGAGTGTGAGTCTTTGGTATCAAGTCCTGAGTCCCTATTAAAAATAAAAAAAAATTCCTCCCCAGGAAAAAAAGGGGGCGAGTGGATGGGTTCCAAGTCACGAGTCAAGTTTGAATCATGGAGGGTGGGGGAACCAAGTTGAGTCCGAGTCAAGTCACTGGTACATCTGAAGTCTGGCTTTGACAGCGAATCCCACAACCCAAGTCCCCAATCCTGCTTCCTATCTAGACGTCTATGCATGAAAAGTTTTGACTTCTGTGCTAAAATGTGGACAATTGAAGTGGAGCCAGGGTAACCTTGGACAGAGGACAAGGCATGGTCAGGCAGCGCTTCTCTGTTTCCCCCTTTTCCATGTGGAAGAGTTACGGTGATCAAGTGATACGTGTTGAAGATGATATTTATGAAACCCCAGAAAACGAAGATAATGAAGCTAGCGACTGACTCCCCAAACATCATCCAGGGCCATGAGAACTGAATACGGTCATCTGTTAATGCAGCTTCCGATTGTCATCTACTTGCTAGAACAGTAAAGAAGCAACGGGAAAGATAAATCAGGAGAGAAGCAGAACGAGGCCTCGAAATTAGCAGCCTTTTCTCTCATCAGCTTCCCAAAATTGGTCTCTGTAAGGCCTCCCCCTCGACCCCTCCAGAAAACTCCCAACAACAAGAACAATGTTTCTTTAGAACGTTTCCTACAGAATGGCGGTGACGGGAAGGGGAACGAAGAAGCCCGATTATCTCTCTGCTCTTTATTCAGTGCTGACAGATCAATAAGCCAGATTTCTGCAGCTGCCAAACGCTGAATGTGGGCCTTGTCAACGCAAAGCTAGAAGGAGCACAGGGGTGGCTTAAAAGCCTCATACTTCAATTTACAGCTCTGATTCGCGCTTAACGAATAGCAAAGCGGCCCTTCATCTCTCTTAGGACGAGGCTGAATACGTGCCGCTTTTGATTTCCAGATCTGATCTCGAAATTTTAACGAGATGGCCATGGCTCTCAGAACCCCTTGAGATGAATGCACACCATTTGGATAAATCCTGTCCATTCCTGGCTGCTGATACGACAAGGGATATGAATTTGAAAGAGGCTGCCATGTTGCTCTGTCTCGACATGTTAGGAAAATCAGAAGGGAATAAGGCCTTGTGTTTGGTGAAATCTTGCTGTTCCTGTTCTTTTCCTGTTCTTTTCCTGCTGTGATTTCGCCATCACTGAGATGTTAATATTTCCCAAGTTTGATCTCTTCAATTTTTCCCTGGTTTCACTTATGTTTTCATCCCATCATGGTTTTGCGATTTTTCTTCCCCATAGTGTGCATTTTCCAAATTTACACATTTTCCAGCTGTGTCCATTTATTTGCCCACTGTACCTAATTTATACAATTCCCCCTTTTGATTAAAGTGTGTTTGTGCACATTTTATTAAGTGTGCACGGCTTAGCCATTCGTGTTTTAAAATACGCAGTGTGTTGTGAATGCTACTTGGAAATCCCACGCAAGTGTTGCAAACTGAGGTCTGAGAAGAGTCTAGTGACACCTCTAAGACTGACAGCTTTTATTTGACATGAACTTTTGTGGATGTTACCCATCCCTTCAGTTATATGGAGTACATCATTCCAGCCATATATGCACATTAGTTGTGGCTATGGGGCTGGGATACAATACTTCCAAAGAATCACTGCTGAAAAAAGAATACATCAACAGCTGCAACTCTTTCTCTCTTGGCTTAAACAAAGATAAGGGCTTTTTACCATGTACCTTACCATTGACAGGATGATTGTGCTTACTAGCCCTTTAGAAGCTGATGACCAGTGTTAAAAATACAATGGTCATTTTCTATGCCTCATTTCATTTTGTCCCCATCCCATAACAGTAACCAGTGGGCATATAATCCACCTGGCCCCAACCGCCTCATTTCATTTTGTCCCCATCCCATAATCCACCTGGCTCCAACCTTTTTGGCTTTTCGGCGCCAGGCAAAGACCTCTCTGTTTAGCCAGCATTTTAATTCAATAGTATTCTTTAGCTGGCCATAGGAGCAGCAGGATTTATTAAGATTAATGTTTTATATGATCATTTTTAATATAGGCTATTATTATAATATTGCCTATATTTAATAGTTTTAATGCTTTTGAGAGTTTTAATATTGTTGTACACCGCTCAGACACCGCTGGTCATGGCGCTTAATATTGTTGTACACCGCTCAGAGACTGCTGGTCATGGCGCGGCTAAAAAAAAAAAATCTTGTAAATAAATAAATAAATGATCCTGTGACTTGAATACTGTCTTCCAGGCATAAAAAGACGTAATCAAAGCTCTGCAATTGTAAAATGATGATGATGGTAATTAAAGCTCCTATCCAATTAAACTTGTAAGCCTTAAGGTACCACAAGACTGTGTTGTTTTTGTAAGTCTCTTGTGGAAGTTAACTGCAGTCTGTTTAAGATACAGTCTTCACACACACACACACACACACACACACACACACTTCAAGTCAATGAGCCGTAACATCTTCACGTCCAACCAACCCCGGGCAATAAGGATGCACACCTTGGCAGTGAATTCAATCAGGAACTCTTGATGAGGGATTTTTCTCCCTCTCTTTATGGGAGGCCCGTTCGATAAATGTTTGCTCAAGAGGAAAATAAGTGGAACAACTTTGCTTTTGTCTGTCAGTGAAAAGCACCCTCACTCCCATGATGGCAACATTTAGTAGACATCCTTCAAGGTTAGGCTGTGCTTTGCCGGAACTGACCTTCAAGCCAGTTCAAGGTCACTGGATTGACTTCCAAAACGCAGTTCTTTCATGTTATGCACTAATAATGCCCGAAAGGCAAGAGGCTGGCCTATGCTTTCCTTGGCCTCTGTTCTTGAAGCCGTTCTCGCAGACCTGGCTTCGGTGTTGTCTTGCTTCGGTGCTTAGCCTGTGTTGCCAACCTTGTTCCTTCATGTGCGTCACAAAAAGCCTGGAGTAGACAAGGCTTGGTCCTTTGGTCATCGCTACAGTTTGTACGCTTAATGAATTGAACCCACTGGGAATTGTTTGGGATGTTCCTCTCTCCCTGTCTCGTCCTTCCATGCAAATGGGAGAAACTCTTGCGTTCTGGGCGGCGAAGAGGGCAGGAATTTTCTGTCGCTCTCATCACGATTCTGGCCCGGGCAAAAGCCATTTTCTGTCCAAAATGCACCCCATATTGAGCACCATCGCACAATTCCCACGCTGGCGTGATTTAGGCAAACTGCCGGCGTGGCCTCAACGTATAAGGCCTGACGCTTGGTTTAAAACTGTCAAACTTTGGATGCATGGATTGCATCTTCCTGAAGAATCATCCTGACCTCCAGGGCTTCGGAAAGACCGCTGTAGGCATTTAGCGCAAATTCAAAAGGTCCTGAAGTTGGGAGGAAACCCTTTGTCTCTCAGCTGAGAATCAGAGAATCATGCCGGGCTTGAAAACTCCTCATCAAAGTGTCTTTATCATGTTCCGATATCCTAAGTCAAAGAAAATGAGAATTTAGCAACTGTAGCGTCTATATGCTATCAGCCCCTTCTGAGTTCACGCATAGCTTTCCTTAGCTTTCCTCTCGACTCCGGTAAGTGGCACAAAATGGAAGGACCATGGCGTGGACTCCTGTTTGCCGTCCTTCTTGGGCTCTAAGGGGCTAGAGAATCTAACCAACGTCTCAAAGCCAGCGTTTGTATTTCCGTCAGGATTGTGAGCTGTCTTGCTGAGTGTATAACCCACGGTTCTGCCGGTCCGATCCGATTCTGCTGTTTATCGTGTCATCATGGGCAAATATTTCTGAGCAAATCTAGAAAGAGGACATTCGTTCTCAAACTTATGACAGAGAGGTTTTTTTTAAAAAACCCAAAGAAAAGCATGATTCGGTAAAGACTTGTGATCCCGTGAATTCGAATACCAATCCTGGTATCTTTTCAGGAGCAAATCCGTATGTGATTGTCAAGTGTGAGAACTCAAAGGTGCGGTCTCCTGTGCAAAAGGGGACCGTGAATGCTGTTTTCAACACCCTAGCCATTTTCTACCGAAGGAGGGTTCAGCAGCCGATTATTATCCAAGTAAGTGCCTCCCTCTGTTATTCTAATCCCATTTTCTCTCTTATACAGAGGTGCCTCGCTAGATGATGATAATCCGTTCCAATGAAATCACTGTTTAGCGAAATCATCGTCTAGCGAAAACCATTTCCCCATTGGAATGCATTGAAACCTGTTTAACGTGTTCCAATGGGGAAGAATCATCGTTGTCTAGCGAAGATCGGCCATAGGAAAGCCACTTTGCGAACCACCGATCAGCTGTTTAAATCCCTGTCTTGCGAAGCTTAGGTCCCGAAAACACCTGTTTTGCGAGCGCGGAGGAAGCTGTCAAAATCGTTGTCTAGCGAAAATCGGTTTGCGAAGCAGGGACCAAACATTTGTCCAGCGAAATTCCCCCATAGGAATCACTGTTTTGCGAATCACTATAGCGATTGCAAAAAGTCAATGTCTAGCGAAAAAACTGTCATGTGGGGTAACTGTCTAGTGAGTGTTAAAGATAAGTCTTTTTGGAAGCCACTCATTCATAGGGTCACCATTACTTAGAACTGCCTGCATGGCACCCGACAACAACACCTTTCACCATGAAGGTGTTGTGTTGCTTCTGCACTTCTTACAACAAAGTCCACAAGCCATTTATCTGTTGCAGAGAAAAACAATCCAACACAGAAGGACTATACCTCATCCTGAAAGCCCTAAAACACTTAATAATATCCAATCATGAAGTAGAAAATCAAATAGGTATCGTTCGCTGTTTCCTGCCCTACTTGGCCTGATTTTGAAAATTAAATTTTCAAACCCTGGCAGCCTTCTGGGTAATGTTCCCATTACATCCTTCTGTACATAGTAAAAGGAGCAACTCAGCAGAACAGCTGGGAAGGGTCTCCAAAGCAGAAGGATCAATTTTACCTGAGGTTCTTGATAAAATATACCGGAAAACATGTGGCCAAGTTTCCGTATTCCCAGAAGCAAGGAAGCAGAACCTGAAGGCTACAGGGACCCTTCCTGTGTCATTGTTGTTGTTTTTATGAAGCTCAAATGATTCCAAACAGGGTAATTACTGTATTTTTCCTGTGTATAAGACTATACTTTTGTTTAAAATCTTTAGACTAAAAATTGTGGGTCGTCTTATACACGGAGGTAAGCTGAGGAGAGAACAAAAACAAGTGGAGGGGAAAGCAGGGATCAAAGCGATCCTGCAGCGCTTTGATCCCTTTCCCCCTGCGCTTGCTAATCCCCACTTAGATTTCTTAATTTTGGATTAGAAAAGTGGGGGGCCTCTTATACACGGGGGTGTCTTATACATGGGAAAATGTGGTATATGGGTTGACCCCATATCCTGTGTGCATTTTGGCCTGCAAAACCATCGCAGCCCAAGACAAGCAAAGATCCGACGTCTCTCTGGTTGAGGCCGTGTGCCAGGAATCTTGGCCGCCTCCCGTGCGGGCAAGGCAAAGCCCGGCGCATCTCCCTGCCACGATTGCCATCTTCTTTCCCGTCTCTCCAGGTCTGGCACCACAGCTTTTTCCGTGACCGGTTCCTAGGCCAAGTGCGGCTCACGGCCTCCCCCGATGACGGCAGAGAACTCCAGAAGCTCCCACTCCGGGGCAGAGGCAGGGAAGAAGCCGACAAGATGCCAGGCCACGTCACCGTCGAAGTCATGTCCAGCGATGACCTTCTGGAGTTATGAATGTGGACGGCTGACAAGCTGAGGGGAAGCTGTTCCCTCCCAGGGAGGGACCTCACTTGCCTTCTCCGCAAGAGCCCTGATTCGCATGGAGGTGTGAAGGGTTTCCGAATAACCTATCTTGAGTCCCGCCTAAGTGGCACAAAGTGGTGAAGCAGAATTATAAACCCAACAGACTGTTAATTCTCGTCTCCTCTCGCTATATACACATTTTTCTCTCACAAACGGGAGCTCGTTCCAAGAACTGGGTGCGCTCGTGCGACTGGAAGGAAGCTCCTATGCTCTCGGCCGGAGGGGGGGGACCCAATTGTATGTTTTTATTTGACGTAAAGCTTCCATGGTCGCCAAGCCACTTCTTTGAAAGTGATCCACAAAAAAGGTGTCCCACCAAATACCGGGTTGCCTTTCGGGCGCCGCCAGAGTCTTCAGCTCGTCTCTTGTCCAATTTCAGCTGGACCGAAAAGCTCCCCAGTGTAGTCATGCAGGATTGCACCATGGGCACAAGGGGCGAGACCTGGAGGGGAAACCCATCAGCCCCCCGGTGGTGGTTTTTAGAAAGAGTGCCATGTTGGTGAGGCTTTCTGATCGGCCGATGCTCAACAGAAGGCAGACCCTTTTATGATGTTATTTTAACTTTTATTTTTATGTTACTGTTTTGTGCGCCAGCAAAGGCACCCGACTGCCATACTCAAAATGCAGGATCGCCAAGTGTTTAGAGACCCTTCGGTTCCAAAACAGGATTCCACAGAGGTCGGCTGTGCCGGCCGGAGAGCCGCGTGGCTGGGGACTGTGGGCCATTTTCCAGAATTTGCGTCAGCTGGTCCTTTACTCCTCTATAAACTCTGTCATCTGATGGATGTTAATCTCATGGGTCAGTATTACTGCCAATCATCACTGCATTGTGTAGCCTTTGTCTGGTGTGAAACAGCACCGTGGCGGTCAAAGTAGCTGCTATATTTGGTGGGCTGGATGTGGAAAGACAAACCCTTCCTTTTTAAAACAAAAAAAAATCTGCATTTTGGAAGAGGCTAATCTATCCCAACTTTGCAAAAAAAAATTCTGCAGTTGTTGTAGTTGCTTCTGAATACCTGTACTCTGCAATTTTGCTTCTGTCGTCAAGCACCTTCTGTTACCAGGCACAGGGACCTGAAGAAAATATATATTATTTTTGCAGCTGGAAATAGCACAATCTGGATATGTATCTAATGCATCTCTTGAAGAGCATTGACTCCATAAAACCGGATGCTAAATTAAACTAATACAGTAGGACCCCCTATCCACAGGATCTGTATGTGCTGACTCACTTATCCACTGGCTGAAAAAGATAGATAGATAGATAGATAGATAGATAGATAGATAGATAGATAGATAGATAGATAGATAGATAGATAGATAGATAGATAGATAGATAGATAGATAGATAGATAGATTCACCAGTCAAAAGTGCAAATTAAATTCATGTTCACCTTCCAGAGACCAATGGCAAAACAAAGTACAGTAAATGCTAATAGTACAGAAAAGTGTATGCTGTGGCAAGCAGACACTTTTCGCCAGTTGAGGGAGCACCTCTTATAAATACATGTTAAATGTATCATCCAATTTGCTTGCTTCGCTACAGAAGATTAATCATGCTGGAAAAAAGATTTAGTGCTGCTAAGCGCTCTCTTTTTTGTAAATTCAGAGTGCTTTGCATACTGTACATTATCTCAGTAACCTTTGCACAGCCCTGGGACAACACCTGTTGGTCTTGTTCTGACTAATAGAAGATGAGCTGTTATCGTCACCACCGCCACCTTTTTATACTCATGGGTGATGTTCAGTCAGGGGCAGATGCAGAGAAGCCCATGTTTGCCTGCCCCAAAGCATGCCCGCACGGTCCCACATCCCAGGGATCTTCCTTCCTCATCCCACCTCCAACAGGAGGGGAAAGCCTCCTCTTAATACACACAGAGAGAGCAGCAGATCCAGAATCCCCTGTGCCTATAAGGGTTACATAGGGCTCAGTGGATCCCCCTGCAGCCTAGGTCAAATGATCCCGCCCGTGTTTTGTATTTATTATTATTATTATTATTATATTCCAACTAACTGGGCTTCATTATCTCTAGATGTGGCCGCCCTGACTTTGTAATGAAGCTAAATCCAATCAAGCAAGGCCACAGATTTAAATATTTAGCATTCATTTGCTTCTCCTGTTCCTTGACTTGCGTTAAAGCTAAATCTCTTCTCATTTCCCATATTTAGAGGCTCAAGCGGGGAGATTAACTGTTCCATTTTTTTGCTCCTTGATTGGCTTGTACATGTTAATCGGAATTGACTTGCTGCTGAACTCTTGGTGCCTCAGCTGAAGGCGCCACTCGCATTCAGGGCCCCTACTTTGATCCCAAGCCACCTCCTGCTTTTTTTCCAGGTCTCCACGGTCGGTGGATCTTTTCCTGGCGAGGGCCGTGGGGCAGCAGGAGGTCACGGCAGCCCACGGCTTCGGCCGCCTCCGAGACCTGGCAGGATTCACATGGCTGGGTGTGCGAAGTTCACCTTCCATCCCATAAGTTCCAGAAAGGGGGGGGAGAGAAGATTTGGGGGAGGGGATTTGACAGCCTCAGTAATAGCGGCTGTTTCGCACCTTGCAAGACGTCTTAAGAGAAGATACTCGAGAATTCCTGCATTTTTAAGACTGAGAAGGACATTTTGGAATAAAGTGCCTCGAAAATAATGCCTACGCTGTAAAATAAAAACAGCTACAATCTGCATGGATCACCATATAAAACAGACACGTGTACACACACGCACCACACAAAGAGAGTCTTAATCTGAAGTGTGTTTTGGAGAAAAACAATAAAATCAAGAATGAGAGATGATCATATCCCTGAGGTCCATTTTCTAATTATAGCCAAGAAAATTTTCTCATTACTCATTTCTTGAGGTGGTGTTTCTCTCTGTCATCATCTACGACTACTTTGTGGGGGTGGGGGGGTAACGTACTTCTGTTGTCATTGTTAATATTTGGGGGGGAAAGGAAACCCTAAGGCACGTTCCTCCATATGCTGTTCTGCCATCTATACTTTGGAAAATAAAAAGGTGCAATGACTTTTTAAAGACTTTGCTTTTGAATAATCCACATTTTGGTAGCAGCTAACTCCATTGCTTTCTGTTTCGGCACATGGATGGACATCCGGGTAGAATGACTGACAGGTTGAGGAATTAGATTGTATTAAACCTGGAGCTGAACATTTCCTGAGGTTTCATTATGGAGGGACCTTCCTTGTCTCCTGGTAGGATGAGAAACCGTAAGATTTATCTCTTCTACACCTGATTTGATGGCCTTTTGCTTAGGTCTCTAATTGTGGAGCCAGAGGTTGGGATTCCCCTCTGGGCCTCCGTGAGAGGGGCTGGACTGGATGACCCCATGAGGTCCCTTCCAGCTCTGAAGCTCTAAGGTTATTACGAACTGCAGGATAGCTCAGGGGTTTAGGTCCCCGGCTGTGGAGCCAGAGGTTGGGAGTTCGGTTCCCCCCACTGGGCATGTTAGACGGGCCAGCCTGTGTAGCCAGCTGCATAATCTCAGGATGACCCCATAAGATGGGGATGGGAAACCACGTCTGAGTTATCACTATCTGGGAAAACTCTGAAAAGTTTCACCATAAGTCAGAACTGCCTTGATGAATGACACATGATGACTATCATCCTTCTTGGTCTTCAACAGCCTTTCTTGACTGTAGCTGCAATAACCAAATCTGACCACACAATGGCAATCTTGCTCTGTGGCACGTCATCTGCTGAATGGCTGGAGTCAGCTAAATTATCACTTCAGATCCTTTCTGCTCTGCCTCTATGGAGCCCCAAGGCCCGGTCCTTGCCCTTGGTTCTAATTCCGTCTCCATGTTGTGTGTGAGGAAGATGAGGCTGAAACAGGGAGGTTTGGCCAGGCTAGCTCAAGGTAGCCAGTCAGTTTCACATTGTGAGTAGACTCTTTGGATGAGGACTTCAAAAACCTGGGTTCAAATCTCCACGTGACTGTCCCAACTCAGAGGGAGACCTTGGGCCAGTCATACTTCCTCAACCTGGCCTACCTCACAGGGGTGTTCTGTGGATAAAGGAGGGAGGAAAGACAAGGTAAACATGAGCCAGATAAATAAATAAATTGGACTGGAAATTCTCCTGATTGGTCTCAGCCTTGATGGCTCACTTACTCCCAGGGTGGCCATTTAAAAATTGCAGAAAGAGAAAAGGTCTATTTCCCCCGCCCCCCAAATGAAGAATCATGCATCCAGAAGTCTTCAGGGACAATGATCCTCTATTTTGTGGCTATTTCCTTTAACTTCATGAAGGAATTACATTACTTTTCATTTTGTATCCTTTAATTTTATAAAGAAATATGCATCTTCCTGTACTTAGTCCCTTTAATGGCATATGTTTCTTCTACACAGCCTTCCCTGTTCCTTACCTTTCTCTCTCTCCAGCTTCATGATGTAAATTCATCGGTTAGGAGCAGAAACATCCCAAACGAGGAAAGGATACCCATTTGATCATGACAGCCTCCTGCAAGATAAGCCCCATCCTCCAACACATGGCAGACACATACAGTATTCAGATGGAACACAATCCACTGATACTTAGGGTTTTTAATTTTTTTTATTTGCAATATTTTAGGTCCAAGTTTCAAACTGCATTTTTTTAACACTCAAGACACAGTCATGCACAATCCATATTTCAATGTCCTATTGCTTCAACCATGATTGAAAATAACTTAAATATTGGTAAAGGGGGAAAGGAGGTGTGGAAACCCTTTCTTTGTATTTATCTTGGCTTTAAAAAAAAAAAAGAATGCTGAGGTTGAAAAATAAACTCATGCCATCAGCACATTTACAAAAGAAATCAAGTCACCCTCTTCTCTCTATAATTTTTTAAGGACTTCTTATTTCAAGTTCCAACAGAATTTCATCCAACACAATTTTGCATTCATTTGTCCTCTTCCCCCCCCCAAAAAAAAAGAGATAAAATTCCAAGAAGAAAGTGGAGGAGCTAACAACAAAATGTTCAGCAATGGAAATGTAGATCCTTCTCCATTCACAGAATCATAGAATCATGGAGTCGGAAGCGGGCTATAAGGCAATTGGGTCCAAACCCTCTGTTCAAGGCAGGGACCCGAGTCAAAGCAGATAAGACACGTTTCTTGTTGTCTTATCCAAATTCCTCTATAATGCCTCCAGAGTTGGACCATTCACCACCACCCGAGGTAATCCACCAACTCTCAAGATAATTCAATATTGTTTGGAAAGCCTTATTGCATCATTCAAGAAAACAAACTGGAATTTGGATGTACAGAATACCTGCATATCAGAGTTGATCTTATGCATTTCCACTGCACGAATCTTCCTTAGCTGAGATTATATATACTGTATGTAGAAGGAGGTGATCAATTTGCTTTCATGAAAAGAACAAAAGGAACCGTCACATCCACTGAAATCTTCTGTCAAAATGAGGGACCTTCTGTGCCAGGATGGAGAAAGTGCAATGTTCTTTATTTCAATGTAAAATGCCCAGCGCATTTCGGCTTATCAGCCCTCTTCAAGGGCGTGTTTATTAAACTTTAATGAGCTTTTTTTGATTTAACAGAACTGGTTGCCAACTGAGGGAACAGAATAAGAGCTAATTAGAGTCTAATCAACACATTCAGTGTACCCACCTAGAGTGGGAGGGAGGCTTCATGAAATCCATAAATCCATCGCTCTCTTACACCACCACCCCTGACACCCCAAAGTTTCGGCAAATGATGGCCTTCTCTCCAGCTATCAAGAAGGTGAGGGCATCAAGTTTCCATCTTTTCCCATTAGTTGAGGAAGCATCACTGATACAAGACCAGCTAGCAGGTCCTTCTTCTATGATGGGTTCCCAACATGGACATAAGCCTAAGGCGTTGGTCAAGTGCCTTGGCCGTGTTCCTCCGGACTTTGCTTAGCTGTCTCAGAAATTCCTGATGCATGAACTGATAAATGAAAGCGATAGCTTTTAGGCTTCGCCACCCTTCCCGTTAGACATTGATCCAAGAGGAAAGGGGCAGCTGAGATATGTAATGCAACCCTTTGAAGTCAGGGACACTACTTTAAAATGTATGCATATACTTGTTCTCACTCAGCTGTCCTTTCATGTTCATACAAAGACGGCCGCACAACACCATAGCCACCACACAGCCTAAAAAATCCCAACTAGTGACCTCTGAAGGCTTTTCTGCCTCTCAAACATGATCTTTCTCACTGTTTGAGCATCTGTTAGACCTGTAATTTGCTCAACCGTTGGCACCGAATAATAATCTACTCCCCTAAACAGCCTCCCCAACTCACTGGGGCCAATTTTTTTTGTCTTGATAAAAAATAATAATTAATTTTTTTTTTTACCCTGCCTTTCCTTTTCACCTTAGCAGACTTTCCCCTTCCAACTCCTGAAGCTAGAAGTCAACAAAGGTCATTCACCAAGACCGTACTTAAGATTTTTACTCTCTAGAATTCCATAGTCAAAGTCGCCATCGCTGTTCAGGCCTCAGGTTATGTGCCCAGGGCTTACTTCCTTGGAGACCCAAGGATGGATCTCTGTAGAAAATGTACATCAGGTTTCCCTCCATTTCACAGTCATGGCTATGACTGTGAAATCCTCTATGTTCAATTTTGGTGATGGTTTTCAGAATGCTCGGTTATAGGTAAACCCCATTGGAGTCTTAGAAATTTCCCTGGTGTGCTCTCTGGCCATGAAGGAATTATTATTATTATTGTTTATTTCTTAATAGGTCACATAGACTAAAACTGGCTGGAAGAAACTGGCCCTCAGTCCGTTCAAGCCAGAATCACATATCTGGCTTCCAAAGACGCAACTTTTTTGAACCTTTTACTCCGGCTTCCGCAAGGTTGGGAGTTGGGTTTTTCCTTGTATAATTCAGCTACCCTAACCCTCCCTTCAAAGTCTAATTTGACCACTAGATCACATCCTCAAAAAGCTTTAGAGGATAAGAGCAAAGGAGAGCTTCTGTACCTAGAATAAATCCAGAAAAATGAAATGACAGTCAACGAACAGACTGCATTATTTAATGAAACCAATGTGGCCATCCTCCAGTTCCCTATACAACATCCGACTGTTTTTTGTATGGGAGGTGTTTCAGCATAGCCTCTTGGAAGCAGGACGGATAAAAATCAATGATTTCTTAAAAATCAAAGTGATTTAAATCAATAATCTTCGACTTGATCTTTGCTTGGAACTTCCAAGCAGAGTGGATTTAAGTAAAAATATAAAAATTAAATTAATTTTAGAAAAAAAATTAATTAAAATTGGATAAAATTTATTTATTTTTTAAAAAATAAAATTGATTTAAATAAAAAATGATTTTTAAATTTAAATTGTAAAAAAATTAAATTATATTTATTAAAAAATTTAAAAAATTAATTTTTACATTTTTAAAATTTAAATCCACCCTGCTTGGAAGTTCCAAGCAAAGATCAAGTAGAGGTTTATTTGACATGCAACATATATGAACGGAGCTGTCCCAAAGCTGGGTGGGGTAGATGTGAAACCAGGAATACCAAAGTAAATGAAAGGAGAAAACTCTGACTGCTACAGGCAGACAGCTAGATAAAAGGTGCTGAGCACCCACTCTGAAGAAGTGAGCAAGAGAGAGCAGCCCAGGCTAGAATTGGACCAGCACAACCTAGAAAGACTGGCAATGTCAGAAGCATTGCTATTTGTCAACAACAGTCTTTGGAACTCAGCACTTGAGTGTTCCTTTCAGTGATAAAGACCAGAGAGAATTAAATTCTGGCTACATCTGTGCATCTCAATAAGCCACGATTTGTGTTCACTAGGGTATGTTGCTTAAGCTATGAATTGTAAAGGAGATGACAAAACAAATGTTACTTTGTCTTCCTTAGTTTCTCATTTCTTGTTCTCCTGCCTCTGTGTCAGCTCCAATACCAAAATGAGGGTTGTGGATTCTGATGTCACAACAAGCCATTATTAAACGAACCAAAGTTTGTAAACCAGCTAAAAGTCATGGCTTCAGATTGTGGTTTGTGGCTGCTCACCAACTACTGCCAGACTTGGCTGGGTTTTTATGCATGTGTAAGCAAAAAACAACAACAACCCACAGACGTTACAGCAGCTAATTGAAGCTAATTAACAAAGTGCTGGTGGCATGCTTGGTCATGCACCCAGTCACACAACCAGCACCTTGTGAATTAGCTTGTTAGTCACCACATTGTCTGCACTTCTGATCACACAGCTATAAGAAACCAGGAAGATTCTGGCCCATGACTCATGGACAGAAGAACCACATGGCCTATCCATGCAGTAGAGTAGCCACATGGATCTCCCTTGCTCTACAAATCTTGTGGGAAGAAAGGATTCACCCCTCACTTCCCAATATGGACATTTGACTGAGATAGCGAACATGTGGATCATCTCAAGTAGCTCTGCATTTCCTGAAGGCCAAGATCTTCTATTTATTTTCAAATGAAGTTGCCCGGACAAATCTCCAGATGTTCAAACAAGTCATTTTCAAAAGCACGCAGGGAGGCAGTCAACGTAGTCTTCAGGTTTTTAAAAGCGAACAAACCACACGCAAATCAACAACGGGACATCTGATTTTAAGATGGGACAGTAAGCCGGAACAGCATTTGCACGGAAAACAGACAGGCGTAACTCGAATTACGGCTTGGCCCCTGGCCTCAGAAAAACCCAAATTCAAGCGTTGGGACAAACAAGCGTGTGAGGCCGTTCATTATACATGTGAAATTATGGCCGGTCTTGCAGCCAATGATGGAAAACCAACATATACATATTTACAAAGGAAAAACACAAAGACAGTCAGATGTAAACAGGAGAAATAGATAGTTACAGCCTGACACTACAACCCACTCTGTGGTGGGTTGCAAGACCTCTCTTCCTACGTCAACCAAAACACTTTTCTTCCACCTTGCTATGTTCCGTTTTCTCATCTATAAATACACTGTGCTTCTCATAATTATCCTGATTATAGCCATTTTCCTGTCCCAGGACGCTCTGAGGTCATGGAGAGTTAACAGTTAATAGCCCATTCCCCTCCCCCTCTCAACCACGTAACACTTGAGTTCTTGAAAACTTCAGGATAAGGCATAAACGAGCGCAACCGTGGTTTCCATTGTTTGGTAAGGGTTCGAAATAACGAGTCTTGCTCTCCAATTGTAGCTCTCCAGATGCTAATGGGAAATACACATACACCCATCATCCCTCACTCTTGACTAGAGCTAATGGGACATGTAGTCCAAGAATACCTGAAAGGGCACGAGTTGCCTATCCCTGGTTCTGGAATAAGAAGAGATTTTAGAAAAGAGATTCATTATGTTACTTCTTTCTTTCTTTCTTTCTTTCTTTCTTTCTTTCTTTCTTTCTTTCTTTCTTTCTTTCTTTCTCTTTCTTTCTTTCTTTCTTTCTTTCTTTCTTTCTTTCTTTCTTTCTTTCTTTCTTTCTTTCTTTCTTTCTTTCTTTCTTTCTTTCTTTCTTTCTTTCTTCCTTTGGACTATACTGGGCAAAATCCCCCCAACTAGCATGGCCAGTGCTTCTTCTCCTTGTCCTCATCTGGCACATCTGGTGTGGACCATAAGGGCCTTTTCTGTGGTGGTCACACAGCTAGTGGTGAAGGCCTCTGGGAGTTGTAGTCCAATAACATCTGGGGACCCAAAACTTGGAACCAAAGACTATTCTCCTTAGTGTCAAACTTTTGGACACAGATGGAACTCCAACAAAAGTCTTTAACTGGGAGAGCTGCACCTTCTTTTCCTTCTTTAAAACTCTTTTTTTTTAACACGTGTGTCCTTTTTTCGTTGTTTCTGTCTTTCAATTGCTTTATGCTTGGTGATCTTTAAATCCTATTACATATTTCGTAACATTTCTAATATTGTACTTTATATATTTGTCATTCCCCTTCCTGGACATTCCATAAGCCATCCCGCGTTCCTCAACTGGAAGAAAAGTAGGCGTGAACATGAAATAAATGAATAAATGATAGAGAAGTAACCATGCAGCCATGGAACAATCCTGAAGGTTTGGGCGATGCATGGTAAGAGCTGGCGTTCGCAAGTTTTTCATGCCTTAACTGATAAAAGCACGTTTGTATTGGTCAGAATCGGGTCAAATATGGGGTAACTCTCCCTCTCCCTCAGAAGACAGACTGCCCGAGGCGACAACAGACCATGCTGGTTGTAGAACTCTGGGAGTAGTAGTTCAAGGAACCGGTGCTTCCTCTCGCTCAGAACACGTGTCTAGACATCCACATCGAATTTGGGGAGGAAAAACAAACAAACCCACACACATCATAAACTCAACAGAGTTGTTACATTGCTTCATACAGAGTGCTGTTCGAGCAACACAACCAGACGGGGGAAAATGTGACTCTCATAAGGTCTTCCAGAGGGATGGGAGCAACAACAGTTCCCATCAAGGGGCGTGAACACTTCCAAAAAAAGTTTCAATAGCAGCACTCGGGATAGAGAGAACCTTGAGATAAGACCGATGCCATATATTGTACGGGACACTGGAGATTCAATCGCAGGAGATTACGATCATGCTTGCCTTCACACGTGGGTCAATGTACATCCAACTATAGATAGTCAGGGGCAACCTTCCTTCCACCTCATATATCTCTTTTTAAAAAAAACAGCAACAGCAGCTTTTGCCTCGCCTGCCCCTTCTCCAGACTCATCTGTCAACATCCAGTGCAAATGTGCTTTCTTGTGTTTTCCCCACTTGGTCCTCATACGAAAGTAGAACAACAGCTAGGATGGAGAGCTAAGCAAAACCTGAACAGAAAAAGACAGTCTGGACTTCACACGGAACCTTTAAGGGTAGTTTGAGGCCCTGAAGCTAGCTGACATGTTCACAGGCCAAAGTGAGACATCAGGACCCCCTTATCCGCAAGATCAGTCTCGGCTGATTCAGTTATCCACGGTCTGAAAGCAGTAAAAGAAAAATCCTAGAAATCTATACAGTGGTGCCTCGCTTAATGAGGATAATCCGTTCCAGCGAAATCGCTGTAGAACGAAATCTTCATCAAGCGAAATAAAAAAGCCCATTGAAACGCATTGAAAACCGCTCAGTGAGTTCCAATGGGCTAAATACCTCAGTGTCCAGCGAAGATCCTCCATAGGGCGGCCATTTTCCGATGCCTGTGCAGCGAAAAAGCAGTTCTAAAGCACAGCGGGTGGCCATTTTGAAACCCGACGATCAGCTGTTTTGATCATCATAATGCAAAGAATCGGTTCCCGAAGCAGGGAATCTATCGTCGGGAAGCGAATTTTGCCCATTAAAACATCGTTTTGCGATCACAAAAGCAATCGCAAAAACCTCATCATCAAGCGGATTCGTTGTTTAATGAGGGAATCGTTAAGCGAGGCACCACTGTATTTCTGAAGAGGAAGTTATCAGAACTGGCCCCTCGAGGGAGCCAGAGAGCATTCTCTATAATAGTGTTCGCTATTAAAATAGTGTTCGCTCTAATCCATATTTTTCCAGCATCCATGGGGGAGGGGGCTGGCAATCGATCCCCGCTATTAAAATAGTGTTTGCTCTAATCCATATTCTTCCAGCATCCATGGGAGAGGGGGCTGGGAATCGATCCCGCACGGATACGGGGGTCCTGCTGTACCAGGAACTGCTGATGTCCATTGATCGGGCTGCTCTTAAAGGCATGAAAGGGGCAAAGGAAGTAAAACGGCTGGGCATCCACCTTCAGAAGATGCCCATTTTGAAGGGTGAAAGATTACTCCATCTGGCCAAAGTCAATTCAAAGAAACATCAACACAAATTTGTTTAATCAAAGCTCTTTTGCTTCTTTAACAAATCTTCACAGTCATTCCTAAATTTCAGCAATACAAGGAGTCTGGAGATTCCACGATCATTATTATTCTTTTTTTTAAGTATTCTGTTTCACTGTTCACAGCAAACCCACAGAGGCAAATGCCCCCCCCAACAAATTCAACATTGCTCCATTGCCCATCCTCCCCGGGGCTTCCCCATTCCTTGGACAAAGTTCCTCTTGAGTTGTACCTCCTCCATGAGATCTAGCGCCATGGCCAGTGAGGCTGCACAGGTCAGGCCCCCTGGGCATTAGCACACATAGCCATCTCATGGCGTATTCTTCCCTTCCCCAAATCCTGGTCATTAAGAATGCCCCAGCGCTGTGTGGGGTCTCTTGAGTTCTGCCACGGAAAGGGGGGGATTTGGTTCTGCCACCTCCCAAAAGACCACAGGGCAGAACCTGGGGCTTTCCCCGCAACTGCTTGCACCCGTGTCACAGGAGATCCATTTCCTCAAGGCAACAACAGAACAGGATGTGCGTGACGGCCAATGATCGTTCCGCAAATTCAAGCATCTCTCGTGAAATCACTGTCTTCCCAGAAAGCACTGCGTTAAGCATAGGGGTGTTAATTTTCCTTTAATTTTTTTTTAAAAACACTGGGAGTCCTGGATCCACTCCCAGCCACCTGGAGTAACAGGAAGGGTCGAACTCTGAAAAATTTTAATGGTTGGACTACAACACCCATCCTCTCCCCCTCCCCTCCCAGCCTGAGAGTTTAGGGCAGCTGTCCTTTTGAAGACGTCAAAGCTCAGAAGCAGAGCTGTCCCCTTGCTCAAGTTCAGTGGAGAGGAGTGGTCCCGGTATTGTGAATGGAAGCAGGATTGGTGCTATTATCATGTATGCCCATGCAGCTGTTAAATCATACATGCCCAGCTGAAACAATGTGATTTCTATGCTCCTCTATTTTGCTCCATTTTAGGGTGGGAAAACTCACCAACATAAAAGCACCAGTGTTCAAGACACCTTCCTTCCAGCTGTTCGGGAATGCAACCCCATCAGCATCCTCTGTTTCAAAACACCCCCCACCGCCCACCGCCCCCCAAAAGAGAATGCTGTGATTCATCTGCTTTGCGGTTTATTATTATTGTTATTATTATTGTTATTATTATTTGGTTAAATAAAGCAAGCTTCTTCATAATCCTCCTCCTTTCATGACAAGCAAATGGACCAGCATCTAGTAAATCTATGGGATCTTTTTCCCCCAACAGCGAAAGAGGACATCACTTTAGTTTCAAAGCCAAACAGAAAAGGGGGGGGGAATCAGAAGGGTTGGCTTTGCCAGTTCTGTCCCGGTGGAGTGCGCGCAGCGTTTGTGCGGTGCCATCGGCGCCCCGGAAAGGACCAGAAAAGAGCCAAGAGGCATCTCGGCCCTGCCTCCATCTATGACGCTCCTGTACGCCTTAGAAATAAATTAAGGGTCTGGAGGGGGAGTAAAAGAAGACACGTGATAGGTTTTTCTCTTCAGGAGGAGGGGGGGTCGATGGCTGCAGTGTCCTTCCATCCCCCCACACCCCAGACTGTGACAGTGATGCTTTTGTGCCATGCCCGTCCAGTGGCAGAAAACGTCTGAAGTCCTACAAAGTTCTCTGTTCTGTCCTGCCAAAGAAGATCCGGGCGGGTGCTCTTCAAGGGGTTAACGACTGCTGTTCTTTATAGCCTCCTTTGCAGCGATGATCAAGGGAGTCAGGCTCGAGAGTGGCTTAGCCAGTTTTAAAAATGGATGCTGAAAGGAATGGAAAAACAACTACAATTATATACCGAGATAGACATCCTTCGTTCGTTCGTTCCTTCCTTCCTTCCATTTATCCTGCCTTCCTTCCTTCCACCTATCCTGCCTTTCTCTCAGTCCATCACCCAGTCATAACACAAATCAAAAAGCGATGCTGCTAAAAACATAGTAAATTAAAGATACAAAACCGCAATGGACACAAAATATCATGTGCATAAGGGAGAGTGGTTGGACGTCATTCGGATGCCCAACCTTGAACTAAAGGCCAGGGACGGGTACTTGTGACTCATAGCTGAGTCCAACTTAAGTCGCCCGGCAACTCGGGGGGCACGGCAGTGGGGAGGGCAAAAGGACTTGAGACTCGGACTTGGGACTTGGGCCCCCAAGACTCAGATTCAGGCAGAAAGAGTTGCCAGCACCCCTGCCAAATGGACAATCAAGTCTGCGGCCCACCTTCCGCTCCATGACTGTGATGAAATAAGCTGTTCTTTTCAAAATGGGAATAAACATGTTAAAAGCCACTTGGAAAAACCACCATTGCGTTTGCCTTTACCTGCAAGAGCTCCTTTGCTGACCCTCGTCTGTCCACGTCCATCTCGAGGCAGCGGTTCAAAAAGTCTCGGAAAACAACAGAAAGTCTCTCAGGATTCTGAAGCTCTGGTGTCCCATTTGTAGCTATCAAATATAAGGCCTAGGAGAAAAGAAAGAAGTTTTGGAATAGATTGGATTTCTCAAATACAGCCTCTCTGCTTGTTTCCCGGCATTTATATGTGGGTTTTCATTCCTTCTCTCCTTCAAAAGACCACTTTGGAAAAGAATTTTAATAAAATAACAAAGTAACTACAATAATGGTATGCCTTCAAGCTGATTCTCGCTTACGGCAGCCCTTTCCAGCGTTTCCTAGGTGGAGAATACACAGAATACACCCTTCCCTTCTTCTGAGAATATCTGGACTTGTGCAGCTGGTCCAAGGCTACACAGGCTGGACCATCTAGCATGCACCATGGGGAACTGAAATCCCAACCTCTGGCTCCGCAGCCAGAGACTTAAACCACTGAGCTATCCAGCCAGCTTTTTAAAATCACTAACAATAAAGTGAACTCAACTGTTTCAAAAATAAAACAACCGGCAGGAAATGTTTCCAGATTCATCCCTATGACCAGCCTCCAGATGTTGTTCTTAACTGGAACAGCTATTGCTGGATCGGGCGTATGGGAGCCGAACATCTGGGGGACTGTGGGTCAATCACCCAGGGATGTGATGATGAATACAAGAGAAGGAAAGAAACCACTAGAAGTGGACTTAACCCTTTGTTGTGAGTTGGTTGCATGTGGTTCTGGAACATAAGGAGCAGCCCTATCCAGAGTGACACTATGGGTCCATCCCAATATTTCCAGTTTTGACTGGTAGAACATCTCCAGGACTCTGAGAGTCAGGATTCTATCCGAGCCCTACCTGGATATCCCTATTGGAAAGAACTAGAAACCGGGCTTTCTCGGCGGTGGCTCCTCGCCTCTGGAATAACCTACCTCCGGAGATTCGCGCTGCACCCTCGCTGGGTACTTTTAAGAACCAACTAAAAACGTGGATGTATAGGCAGGCCTTCCCTTCCAGTTAATTCCTATCCTCTTTCCTTTTTTATTCTTTTTTTCTCTTTATTTGATTTATTTTGTATTTTTCCCATCTTGCAAAATCATTTAATTAATTAATTGTGATAAATTTTTCTTGAACTAGTTATCCTTTATGTTGTAAGCCGCCTAGAGTGGTCGAAATGACTAGATAGGCGGGATATAAATAAATAAATAAATAAATAAATAAATATTCATTGGTGGTCTCCCATCCATGTCCTAACCAGGCTCAACCCTGCTTAGCTTCAGAACTCAAACCAAGTATATTCAGGGCAGGACGGTATGTAGTCAACCTGTAGGATCCCCATGAATTACAGCAGAGTGTACCATCTGGGGTAGCTAAAGGGGGGGGAGGAACGACACAAGAAGGCCAGGTGTTGGTCTTACCCTGAGAGGATTTTCATTAAGATACGGAGGTTCTCCTTCCACCATTTCGATCGCCATGATCCCTAAGGACCAGATGTCCACTTTGGGGCCATAAGCTTTTCTCGTGACCACTTCGGGGGCCATCCAGTAAGGGGTGCCCACCATCGTGCTTCGCTTACTCTGTTCGGGAGTGATCTGAGCACAGAAGCCGAAGTCAGCTACGGAGAAGGAAAAAGCAAAAAGGCTGTGGCTTGCTGAGATCATGCAGAAGAAGGCACACAACCCAGCCCGCGGGGGCAGGTAAAAGGGCTGGGATAGAGGGGCTGGAGGGGGTGCAGCAAAGAGGAAAGGATGAAAGCACGATTACAGCTGGACCCCCTTATCTGCGGGATCTGTTTCTGATGATTCAGTCTAAAAAATATTAAAAACATTAACAGAAAAATCCAAAAATATTTATATATTTTGAATGACGATGTTACCAGAACTGGCCACTAAAGAGACCACGCTATGTATAGCATTCACTAGAGGAATAGATTTCCACATTCTCATTACCAGTACTGGCCACCAGATGGAACCAAAAATCACCCTATGTGTAGTATTCGCTATTAAAATAGTATTCCATGTTTTTCAGCATCCATGGCGGGGGGGGGGCTTGGAACAGATCCCCCGTGGATATGGGGGTCCTGCTGTATTGCAACAAACTAGAAAAGCTCACAGAGGAAAATGATACAGTAGTTGTTGAACATGAAGAACATTCACACTCAGAAAAGGAGTTTAGAAAAGAAGATATGAAGGGAGCAACAAAGCCTACATTAGCTTGGAACAGTTAGGGCCGTGCAGACTGGAGCAATCTGGCCATTGCAGCCCCAGAAAGTAACTTTTTGCAGGCGCTGAGAGAAGAAGCTGCCTAAACCAAGCAAGGCCAAGAGTTCCTCTATACAAACAAACCGGCTGAAATGCTGTTGCCCAGTTAGGCAAATGGCGTAACTTTTAGGCACACATTGCTGTAAGTTAAGAAATTTCTGTAGACCTTACATGCCCAGTCGTGGGACTCAGTAGATAATCTCTATGGAGCTGTCTTACCTTGGGGCAATTTCCTTCCAAAAGTTACGTCGTTTGCGGAACGACCCAACAGGATTTCAGCCTTTCAGATTTTCAGACCTGAAGCCACCCCTACCCTCCCTATAGACTGAATCTGGATGCACTGGCTTTGCAAAACAGGCCCTCTCTTTTAACTACCTAACAATGTGCCACTCCCCTTGAGCCTCAAAGTGTTCCCTCTGAGCTTCAGGGCAATCCTCACAGTAGCTGATTTTTTTTCAGGAACACTGGAAGGTATCACCGCCACTATAATGCAAAATGCGTGTGTCTTATGTGCTGTCAAGTCAGATTTGACTTGTAGTTGACCCTAAAAGGACTTCTAAGCTAGATGGATATTTACGGAGTGGTTCCAACCAATTTCTGACTTCCAAGTTAAATCAGATGGTTAAGGAGTGGTTCCGACCAATTTCACTCCTCACTGAATTTCTACAGCCAAACAGGGATTCGAACCCAGGCCCTCGGAGTCCTAGCCCGTCACGTCCTCTGTTCTTGACTGACTTTTCTCAGAAAGAGACAACCGCGTGCAAGAGGGATGAGCGTGCACATTCACGACAACGACGCAGCCCGAAAGGAGGATACCTACTAAGTTTGACCGATCCGTCCATCCCGAGAAGGATGTTGTCGCTCTTGATGTCTCGGTGGATGACTTGGTTCGAATGCAAGAAATCCAGCGCTTGCAGACACTGGGCGTGACGAAGCAATGAGATCAGCATCAGTGGCAACCACCGCAGCAGCAACACAAGAATATGCAGAAAGGAGTAACAATGGGAGCAGAGGTGCCTTCTTGGGTTGCATTGAGAGGTGGATCGAGAGTCACAGGGCAGAGGAAATAAGCCAATTCCTACGCATACATCTCGACCAGTGAATCCCCAACCTGGGCTTCTAAATACTGTTGGGTTTGGAGTCCAGCTTTCTGGATCCCTGACGAATGGATCAGCTTGGAGGGGCTTCTAGGAGCGAAGCCCAGATCATCTGGGGAACCATTTCTAAAAACCCTTGGTCTAACCAGTCAGCAATGGTAGAACCACCGCCTTCTCCACCACCACCACCTGCCCCATGGATGAGGTTTGAGCGTCCTTGGGCAGCCCTGATCGCCGTCACCCAGGGACCCCTTAGATTTATTTAAAGAGCAGCTTAATCTTTCCATTATCTAGAAGTAATTAAAAGCTATTTTAGTTACTTTTTAAAAAAACTACTGACTGTTGACCTGTGGCAGAAGGACATTTCCTATAATTATAAAGCCTAGTTAAACAATTACAAGCAAGACTACAACAGCAGCGTCCATTCCAAGTTATATTCAGATTAGGATGTAACTGAGTAACGCCTGAGTAACTACAAAAAAGAATTAATTGCAAGAAACTACTTTCATGTAACTATTGTTTGGAACAATTTGATTTTTCACCCAATGGTTAAAGTTTCTGAGGCTACCTATGATGCTTATGAATGGAGAAGCATCATTATTCACCACTTACTTTAATATCTTATTAAACCAAGACACATATGTGCAACTCAGATCACATACAAGAGGAAGGGGAGGAACTCTTCGGTTTACATGGCCCCAGAAAGAAATTTCTTACCTCTCTACAGACAGCAGCAATCTGTCCTTCATCCATGCATGTTTCTGTGACAACATCAGTCAGGGAACCTCCAGCTAAGTATTCCATCACAACCCAAAGCTCATCACCAACAAGGTAACTGAAAAAAATCCATTAAAAAATGAATTGAGTGGTTTATCTTAGCCATCGATAGGTCAGATTTTTATGGACAATATTATCTCAAGGAAATAAATAATGACATTTTAAATAAAGTTGTCTCTACTTTGGGCACAATACGAAAAGGCAGGATTCTCTGGAAAAGACGATAATGCTGGGAAAAGTTCCTGAAGCCAGCAGGAAAAGAGGAAGACCCAATACAAGATGGAATGACTCCCTAAAAGAAGCCATCAACTGCGACATCGTATGCGCCCAACCCATTTTTGGCTCTGAAAGAAGGAAATCGGCAGCTGCAGCTCTGGTAACACTGGTCTTCATTGGACATTTTGGCAGTGTAAATGTCCTTCCAAATTAACCTCCCCTCCAAGACACACTTTTTGGGACTCGGGACTTGATAGCAAAGACTCGGACTGAAATTCAGGACTCAGACCCAAAGACTTGCCAGCATCCCTGCCGACCAGTGTTCACAAATGCAGGATTTGATACATACACACACAGACACACATCCCAATGAAGAAACACTAGTCAGGTCTTCACCTGGACTACTCCCCATCAACCATTCAAACCCACCCCCAAAAAACAGCCCGGCAGTGTGACTCACCTATCTAAATAGTTCACAATGTTGGAGTTCTTATTTTCCCGCATGACCAGGATTTCATTGATTATTAATTCCTTTTTGGGTTGCTGCTGGAGATTCATTTGTTTGATCGCAACCTGAAAGGACATTGTTTTTAGAATAATGTGCCCCCCCCTCGAGTCCACAACTATCGCCAAAAAGGACGGCAAAATACATCCGCAAAATACAGCACAACATTTCTGGGGTTACTGCTCGCAATTCTGAGGTCTTTTTTAAACGCTCAAGGTGGAGTAGTTAGGGTTGAACCACTCGCGGCCATGTGCGGGTCAACCTTCACTCCCATCTTCCATGTGGAACCATAGGGATCTTCCATGTGAGACTTGATAACCACATCATCACCCCTGTTCTCATCTAAGAAATGTTGGATGGTTGAATGTCTGGGCTAAATTTTTGGGAGTGATGGCACCTACCTTGGGGAAAGTCCACCATCGTTAGTCATAATTGTTCAGAAGTCCTGCCATTGGGGTTGGCAATACAATGAGTCTTTTGCTGAGATCAACAGCAAAATTCTCCTCCGCGTTAACTATTTTGGATTATACATTAACCTCCCTTTCTCCTCAAGCTTGAGAATCTTGACCTTCACGCCAGGTTTCTCCACCATTACAAGAAAGGCATGAACATTAAGGTGACAACTCAATTTGAACCAAACTCAAGGGAGTTCAAAGGCCTGCTTCTTTCTCGGCTTTGACCAATCCCTGGATGGGTCACCCTCCGGTCAACGTGTGGAACAGCGCCAAGCCTGACACCGGTTACGCATAATTGTGTGGTTTAAGGATGGGCCTCTTGACCCTCAGTCTAATTTTCCTTCATTTTAACGATCAAGGGCCAGCTGACCTCCATGCCACCTAACTACAAACCCCAAGCTTTGAATACGGATCCTGCTTTAATTAATATTTACAGCCAACTTTGGAGATCTGTCCAAATGTTAAGAACCATTAGCATCTCTGGAACCAGTAAGAAAGTACCCCTCAGAAAAAGAACCGCCCATCAATTAAATAGATAGGTGGGTATTGTATTAATGATGACAGGCTTAGATGGCCCTTAACATCTGCTTTCTCCAACATGTAATTATCTCTGGGGGGTCACATCCACTTCTACAAAAGCAGAAGGTCACCGCCAACAATGGTCACCCATTGTTCTACCACCCTATAACAACAACAGCTACCTGTTCCTTCAAGTTTCCTGCATGAGCTGTGATAATGAGACCCACACGCTTATAAGCACCACCAGAACACTCCTACCTCTTCCACAAGTTTTGTTGGTTGCCTGTATTATTTTCTTCTTTAAAAAAATATCCTACAGGCTATAGACATTCTGTGCAGCTCCATGGAACCTCAGGGCCAGTGTGATCATTGGGCAAAGCAATATTGGCCTTGGACGGCAGATATGATGAGGTGGCAGGAAGGGACTTGAGGGGAGAGAGATGTTTTTAATGCAGTCCATCTCAGGATGTGGTGGACCATCGTAGCCCAATCAACAGTACTGAAGAAAGATCCACCTGCCCATGTAGTCATCTTTTTTTTGTGATCATAGCTCCTGGGCATCATATAAGGTGTGAAGCAAATGTTGTTGTTGTTGTTTAGTCATTAAGTCGTGTCCGACACTTCGTGACCCCCACGGACCAGAGCACACCAGGCCCTCCTGTCTTCCACTGCCTCCTAGCATTGGGTCAAAGTCATGTTGGTCACTTCGATGACAGATTGAAGTATTACCAAGTGGCAATTAATTCTTCCATCTCTTGATCATTCCACACCTCAAGATACATTTTCAGTAGCTTAAAAATAGTGATACTGGCTGGGAGGGGACACGTTCGGCAGCCACACTGGCTAGAGAATTTGGGGGGAGTTCGGGTTCAAATGCCTCCCATCTCTTGAACTGGCCAGCACAGATGGTGAGCTGCTAACATCGCTCAGCAGTCCTGTATTCTGGCTTGCCCATCGCAAGACGTCTGTGAGAAGCGGTTTATTGCCTTCTGCACAGCCTACCATACCATTCTACGGCGCTGTGTTCGGTTTAGTGAAATCAATCTATTTAGAAGAAGGCAGAAAGAAAAACACTCAAGACGATGACATTATTTGCCCCCTTGCTCTGCTGGTGCAACCACCAAGAGTCTTGCAATGAGCAGGTTTTCCAGCAGACAGCAGGAAAGAGTCTGGAATTTGAACACAAACCCCCTAAATTGCACTCACCTCTTGACCGGTGGCAATGTCTATTGCCGTATACACCGTGCCGGATGCCCTAAAGGAAAACAAAAGGTGGGGCCGAGTTAGGAGAAGCTTCTGAAAGGTCTTACGGAGATGAACACGTGTGTGAAAATATTTATCCTCGAATATTCAAGTCTTAGAAGCCATTCCATCCATTAAAGTGGGACGAGTGTAACTGGACCAGCGGCTTCCATAATCTAGGTGATGCTAGGGCTGATGACAGCTTGGCCAGAAATATCTGGAAAACCAGAGGTATCCGTCCCAAATTAAACAATGGAGGGATAACAGCTGGTCGGTCATCAGTTGTTTTAAATTGACACACATAATGCAACAGCAAGATGACGATAGAGATGGAAACCCCAGTAGCAAGTCTTCAGAAGAGGAAACCCAATGGAACCTACAGCGGAATTGACTCCCCAAATCCTTACTGATTCAATGGGCCTAATAAGTTAGGACTTAGTAGGCGGATTTAAGGTCTAGAAGGATGATGTTCGGCCATAGCAGACATCTTTCATGTCTGCAAGCTGGCAACCAAGACGGAAGCTCTGACTCCTGGCAAAACTTACCCTTGTCCGATTTTTTCAAACCGCGTATATTTCTTCTTTGGATCGCCGACACTGACAATGCTTCCTAAAATAACCAAGAAGAACAGATTTTACTTCTCTTGGTTCCAGTTGTAAAGAAAAACAGGAATTTTAAAAAAAAAGAATCCCAGTGGTGTTGCACATGAGTAAAAGAGAAACTGATTTGTTCGATGGTCAAAATATCAGTCATGAAGGTGACTCAAAAGCTTGCCTTATTCTTCAGGAAATGTTGTGATAAATTGGTGGTCCCATAAAAGAACTTCCCAAATCTGATTCAAGAGCCAGAAAAGGCAGATAATCTCATTCGGCTTTTACTCAGAGTGTATCTATGCTACAGTTTTATATCAGCTGGACATCACTGCAACTTCCATGCCTCTATGGGATCTTTAAGGTTGGGGGGGGGGAAGGATACATAGAAATCCCCACAGTCATCCATGGCGGGCACTGGAATTCTTCTAACAGGGAATTTTAAGTCCCCGGTGACAATACAAACCCCAGGATTCCGTAAGAAGGAGTCACGGCAACGAACGTCAATTATTTGCTTTGTTTCTTTGCTTATTTTACTCATCGGTTTTTAATAAAAATCATGTGAAAAGGAGACTTGACATCAATAAGCATCAAGGTTGGAGGGCAATTCTTCTGAGCCTATGAATCTGCTCACGTTTCAAGAAGATTCAGTTTGGCCCTTAAAAAAAAGTGAATCATACAAATAACATCCAATGTAGAGTGCTGCCCTCTGCTGGTGGATTTTTCCCCCCGATAAATGCCTGGAGAAATGACTATTAAAAAGAAACCATGAAAGTGTTAAGTCCTATAAGGTCCAGAACTGAACCATCTGGCACTTTGTTTCTTCCTCATGGAATGATTCCAGAAATCATTATTTCTCAAGTTACATCCCTGTCTCCTCTTTCTTCTCGATAGCTCCCAAGCGGTATATGTGACCCTCTTCTTCTTTGCATTAGTCACACAACGACCATGCAGTGCTGGCCAGGCTGTAAAAAGGTGACAGGACATGTCCAACCAATGAGTTTTTAAAGGCTCCCCGAGGACTAGAACTCAGATCTTCCAAGACCCAGTCCGGTGCTCTAACCACTACACCGGGCCAGTTCTTTGGGGTCACCTGTTCGTTGCACATCCAGAAGCGTCAACGTCTGTTGACTTCAAAGGACAGGCAACTGCAGATACGGGAGATGGGACCCACATAAAGCAAATAGCCAGCGCCGTTTTATAACACGTAAATCAATGCTCAGAAAATGCCTGGATCCTTTTCAACCACAAGTGTGATTTACTTGACAAGGAGAAACACTCATACCACGGAGGAATAAGGCAACCCAATTCAAATTTTGCATTTAAAAAAGACGGGGAGAAGGAAGTGAATTCTTCCTGGTGGTGGCATCCAGTCAAACGACACATGGCCTTAGCTGTCAGACAGCATGGAAGGACTGCAATTTTTACAGTCCAAGCCTGTACGTATTTGAGTGGAAGTGGTACCATTGAACTCAATGTGCATAGTCCTAATTATGGAGGAATAAACCCCACTGAAGTCTGTCTGAATAAGCATTTGTAACTTGTGTTGTGAATTACACACGGCAATCACAGGTATCCAGAAGAAAGTCCGTGCCACGCAGCGGGATTCGCTTTTGCGAATGTAACCTCACTCCACCTCTGGGGACATTCACAGCTCTTCATACACCAGTCCATTCCACAAAATCTTCCCATCATCCTGCGGGTTGTGTTTTTTTTTGGGGGGGGGGTTGTTCTTTAAATGCACAAAACCTTGTATTCATCATTTACGTACAACTAGAGATGGGCCCGAACCGGTGGTTCGGCGGTTCGTGCCAGTTCGGGCAGCAGCCAAACAGATATTCCACAATTCAGCAACCTGCTTATTCTGGTGGCTGCCAACTTACTGGCCATGCCCAGAGGAGGCGGCACAGGGGAGCCAGGGCTTTGTTGCTTCCGAATGGGCGTCCACTGAAGAGGACAGGATGCTGACTCTCAGTACACGTATTCAACTGTTGTCCAAACCAGCACGAACCACCAACCATCAGTTCGTGCCCATCTCTACATATGACTATCCTGAGCATACACGTCTTGTGTGCATCTTTCCGCAATACATGCATTTACTTAGCATCCATATTTTTCTACACAACATCCCCCAATATCCTCATTACTATCACCACCAGCATCATAGATGTGCATTTCTATGCATACGTTTTGAATTGAGGAATGCATGGGCAAATTCAGAGAAGTACTGAAACTTTAGGATGGTTTTCAGGACCCCTCTGACTGCTTATCAATCTGGGGGAAAGCAAATAGCATCCATTTGTTTAGTAATGTCGGCAAAGCTAAATTCTCCATCATCCTTATTTCTGAGTAAAGCTGCATCCAGGTACACCCTAACCCTCCAATTTAAACCAGAGGGCTAGAACTGGGGGTGAGGTGGGTGGGGGGCTCCCGAATTAAATTTGTATTTTTGGGCAGTCCAAATCTTGCCAGCTGGGGTAAAGCACTCACTTAATTTCTCCAAGATCTCCTCGTCGGTCATCTTAGATTTTTTCCGTTGCCGGTCTGTATTCCTGTATAAAGTGTTCGTGCTGGAGTTCTCCGGCTGGGGGGTGGTCGGTTCTTTAGCAGGAGCAGGGGTGGCAACCGGCTCAATGACAGAACGTGTATAAATCTGAAAGAAAGCAATTGAAAAGAGACCTGATCTCACAGGATCAAAAGAGACACTGGACAATCACAAATTGTTGAAAGGCTGCAAAAGGAACGACATGGATTGTTTTTGTGACTTCCAAAAAACTACTCTCTCACTCCCTCTCTGTAAAGGTTTAATATAAGCTCTTTAGGCACAAATAATAGTTATCCATGAGGCATTTCAATTTATGATGGTCCCCTGAATTATCCTTTTTGCGCAAGGCAAAAAACGCTTAGGATTAAACAATACAACGCAGAACAGAGTTGACCGGCAGCCATAATTTCATACAAATTAAAAGCTTGAGAAAGGACATTACCCTTGCACTTTTCCACCAAAATGATTTTTTTTTCCTTCCGCTGCTTCTAATAATGAGCTACTCGGCTGCCTCTGAGGCAGAAGGTGCCATTGCGCAAACTGGCACCCTGAAAACATGAGTTCTGTACATACGTAAGATTATGCCAGTGGAGTATTTCTACATAAAGGTTCCACATCGGGATAAATTGTTGCGGTTTGTCTAAAATCATCACAAGGGTAATATTTATTTATATTGTGCTCTGCACCGGAGTGCACTCCAATCAGATCAATCATGCACAAATAGGCAACACAACATTTAATCAACATTTTAATATTCTGTATATGAGCAGAAGCAATTATTATTCAGGGTGCTGAAGGCCCCAGCCCAATTTGCAAGACGTATCAAGCAACTTGGCTTTTGATATTTCTTTTTCCAGATATTTCTGACTGACTTCACACTTCTCCATGTGACACGGTGACCAAAATCCTCTTCGTTACACAAGCCAGCGGCATGGAACCGAGTAAACCTCAGTGGTCAACTGCCACAAGCTAAAAAAGCACGAAATTAAAAGACACCTGCTTCTTGGGAGGAAAGCGATGACAAACCTCGACAGCATCTTCAAAAGCAGAGACATCACCTTGCCAACAAAAGTCCGAATAGTCAAAGCTATGTAGTGATGTATGGAAGTGAGAGCTGGACCATAAAGAAAGCTGACCGCCGAAGAACTGATGCCTTTGAATTGTGGTGCTGGAGGAGGCTCTTGAGAATCCCCTGGACTGCAAGGAGAACAAACCTATCAATTCTGAAGGAAATCAACCCTAAATGCTCACTGGAAGGACAGATCCTGAAGCTGAGGCTCCAGTACTTTGGCCATCTCATGAGAAGAGAAGACTCCCTGGAGAAGACCCTGATGTTGGGAAAGTATGAAGGCAAGAGGAGAAGTGGACAACAGAGGACGAGATGGGCGGACAGTGTCTGTGAAGCAACCAACATGAATTTGACCCAACTCTGGGAGGCAGTGGAAGACAGGAGGGCCTGCCGTGCTCTGGTCCATAGGGTCACGAAGAGTCGGACATGACTAAACGACTAAACAACAACAAGGAAAGCAGCACAGGTAGCTGCCACTGCAGACGAAGCTGTGCGACTCAGCTCACAACATGAGTGTCTGCTCTGATGTCTTAATTGGAGGAAAGCGGCTGCTGTGGTTTATGCCGATTGCATCATGTCCACATAAAGACATAACAGGATTTGGGCCGGCAGCTAGACGTGAGAAGAACAAGAATTCTTTAAACCCTGAATTCTGCATCCAGTATTGGGTTCTATCTTTTCTCCCCTTGCATCTTTCAGGACAATCGCACCCTGTGCCACAGTGCTTAAACGGCAGTACTGCAGTAGGACCTCTGATCACAACCTGAGTTCAATCCTAATGGGCTCAAGGTTGACTCAGCCTTCCATCCTTTCAAGGTTGGTAAAATGAGTACCCAACTTGCTGGGGGACAAAGTGTCCCTTGCTTAATTCTATTGTAAAGCTTTCTGGGATGGTATATAAATTGTTGTTGTTGTTGATTCATTTAGGATACTTCTACCCTACACTAAATCAAGAGCCTCCATAGNNAAAAAAAAAAAAAAAAAAAAAAACCAGTTTAAAGCCTATGTATAATGTAATTTAATCCAAGCCATTAAAATATATACAGATAGAACATAAAAGAAACTGGACGAAGCCTTTATAAGTTGTACCGTTACAGCAGAACGCTGCACAGGGACCCACCAACCGATGAAGCTACCGCCGCTCAGAACTTACAGACTTTGTATGCTCCGGACGTGGGGCGATTACAGGGGGCGGTTCGTTGTCATCATCCTCTTCTTCATCCTCCTCATCTTCCTCTTCCGAAACTGGGGGGGCTAGCGGGGGTTCGGAGGCTGTTTTCGTGCTCTGTGGAGGAGGGAATGGTCGGCACAGGATGAGGCCTTGGCCAATGGCAGAGAAAGATCTGGCAGAGACGTTATCACTCCTGCCAGCCATCATCTCACTTCCCCCTTCCTCATTTTGTTTCCTTCTCTGTCACCTCCACGAGGTGGCTAAGGGTGTGTGTATCGACTGGGAAATAGCTCACGTTTTGGACTGCTATACTTATACATTTATTTTATTTTACACTGCAACTGGAGAGAGAAATGCAGAGACCAGCTGTGAAAGTGTGGTGACCTCACTCAGACACCCGCCTAAGCATCTCAGTAATTGGAGTAAGTCGGAGAAGTATTGGGTTTCATTGGGGCAGGAAGCTGTCAGTCTTCTTCTCCTTCAGCTCGGCCTCTTCCTTATAAGGAATTAATACCTCTAGTTTCCCTTTCCCCAATTTTGATCAGCTCGTGTTTTTATTTTAACATCTTTGCCCCACAAAGGCCGCTTATAGCACACAGGGGCTTGCCCCTCCATCCCATAAGCATCCCAGACTCTTTGCTCTGCCCCATATTCATCCCAGGGACACACAAACAGCCCTGATTCGTTAACGTTTGGGAATTAGGCTGAAGATGGCACACATCTCCAGTTCACGCAGAGGGACAGGTTTTCATACTCACAGACGGATGGGCTGCGATATAGCCGTGGGCGCTCTTATCTGAAACGGAGAGAGCAGAAAGTCCATAATGACCAGTTATAATGTAAATCAGTGGTTCCCAGCCCCACATGTTCTCTCTGCAGCAAAGACCATGAAATGTGGAGAAGACATGGGTGGAACTTTATAAGCTCCATGGGACCTGCAAAGCATTAAGGGACTAGAGGGTGCCTTTCAAAAAATCTACCAGTCCCGTAAATCTTTGCAGTTGCCAAGAAGCCTAGAAATTTCCACTGATATCCTTCTCCATCCTTTATGGCCACTGGGACAGAGAGACACTGATTGGTTCCCCGAGATCTGGTGGCTTATCTACTCATGTCTTCTTACCTCCAGAAGTAAAGCTCATATATTTCTGGTTGTTTACTGTTTCTTTGGAATCATAGAATTTGAGGACATCTAGAACAGCTTGTGGGTTTTTCTTCTGCTCCAGTTTTGTTATATTCGACGTCTGTAGTAGTCTGGCCCACTGCTCAGGGATCCCCTGTGAACAGCAAGCGGAAAGAATGACGATTCAGGGTGTTTCGTTCACTTTAGCTGATCACCTGCCCGCACAATTCCCATGCTCCCTGTAAGATTATTATTCAGAGACTTTGTTTGAGACCTGACAGTTTAAAAGCTAAACACTTTAGTGGTGGGGCATAATCATTCTCTCATCCTCTCCTAAAACAAAGTGCTAAAAGCATGGATTCAACAAGAAAGAAAGAAAGAAAGAAAGAAAGAAAGAAAGAAAGAAAGAAAGAAAGAAAGAAAGAAAGAAAGAAAGAAAGAAAGAAAGAAAGAACCAACATTATGAGCATGACAGGAAGAAAGCTGCATGGAACTCTTCCTTAAATTAACTCTTGCTGATCCATGGAACAATAACAGAAAAGCTATTCTCTTCCCTGGTTATTTAATGCTTGGCATCCCTCTAAATCAGAGAACGGCATAGTGTGTATTTTAGGAACCTCACACTGGATATCTGGTGCAGAACAAGGGAAATGCAATTCTACTTGAATGATAATAGCAGATCCGATTGACGGCAAAGCCACTTCCCAATGCGCTAATTGGCCTCCAGGGAAGCTCCTCCAGAGTTCGGAGGTGGGGCTGCATTTCGGAATCAACCCAGCAAAATGGAGTTATGCAACGCAGCCAGAGCAATCAAGGAAACCTCTTCTTTGACGCCTTTGCATCTCCCTGTTTTGCACAAAACCCAGGCAAGCGAACAACAAACACCCAGTCCATGAGCAGATCTTGTTCTTGCCACACCCGTTTGCATCGCACTGTTCCGATTTCTGGAAACGTTGCTTCAAAACATCCAGTATAATTTCCAAAAATCCAAGAAACGGCTGTTCTGCCAGCCCAACCCACCCGCGGGTTATTTACTGCAGAAGGAACATCGAAGCAGCAAAGGGTGCCTACAGCATCCAAGCGGTACCAGCTTAGCACTACGTTCTAACCGAGTCAAGGCGTCCATCCTTGCTAAAGGACTCTCTGCCAAAGTGATGCATGATTGATGTGGGACTTCGGGCCTGGAAGGTTAAGGATGAGAGCATGGGAGAAGCCAAGCCAACGAAATCTACGGCACACACACAAAGCCTGCCATGGCAGAGCTAGGACGTCTCAAAGAAGCGCTTGGAGGCTAGCTTCTTTTGGGGGGCTTGGGAACGCACCTCTGGACGCTTCCCTGTGCACCTCTGCGAGCCATAGAGATCTGGCTGCAATGGATGTAAATAAAGAAAGAAAAGAAAGTTAAAACAGAAGGGGAGGGACCGGGAGAAAGTTGGGAAGAGGTGTGGAAACCCCGGGGGGGCGGGTCAGAACGGGGCAGGGAGGTCATCCGTGAAAAAGAGGAGATGCGTTGCAAACAGAGTAGCCATTGACAAGTTAGAGAAGACAGATTTTGGGGTGTTGGACAGAAGGAAAATCAGACTGAAGCCCAAAGTTTGAAAGCATCAACACACCCACCCATGTCAACAATGTCGTGGGGTGTAGTAGAGTCTTTGGGTAGAGCTGTTGCTTCGTTCGTTAGAATAAGAATTCCCAACCTCAGGTCCCCAGATGTTCTTGGACAGCAACTTCCAGGAATCCTGGCCAGAGATGTTCTTGGACAACAACTTCCAGGAATCCTGGCCAGGCACAGCTCATGGGGAAGGCTTCTGGGAGTTGTAGTCCAAGAACCTCTGGGGACCCAAGGTTGGGAACCACTGCTCTAGAAAATCATTCTACTCAGGGCTGATGGTTGGAAAAGTCATGTTCACAAAACTTGGAGAAAATACTTAAACTGTGCTTGCAATTCTGAACTACGTGATGCTATGCATTATTTACTCATACTCCTCTATGGATGGGGCTTACTCTCTACTGTACATGCATAGGATCGCCAAGTCAAATGACTTTCCCAGTCACCTTATCAAAAACGTATAAAGGAATGGAAAATGCTATAAAAACAGTCCCATTCTATTTACTCTTTCTTATTTATTTATGTATTTATTTATGTATTTATGTATTTATGTATTTATGTATGTATGTGTGTATGTATGTATGTATTTATTTATTTATTTATTTATTTATTTATGTGTCTGTTTGT